TACAATCTTGACTGACCTTTAGCTATCACTGCCTCAAAACTGATTTTCCTCTGTTGCATACTACATTACTTCCATCCCAACTGAGTCTGTAGCGCTTGCACTCGAATTTTTTAAGGTTGGATTGCGATATATGGTAACAGTAGCCACCTGTGTATGGGTGGCTTAATTAAAACTTTGCTGAATTGAATTTGATTAAAAACCGACCCTGGGGTTTTCAGTGAGATGCCATACTTAGACAACGTAGTGCCTTACACATTATAAGCGCTTGGTAAATTTTAGTTGTGATAATCGTTAGAATCTCTTCAAGAAGTGACTTCTCACAAGTGAGGGGCATAGGAGAGCTTCCCAGGCAGAGGGAATCAGATATACTAAAGTCCTGATGGCCCAAAAAGTCTGTGGCCCTCCAGGGTCCCAAACAGGCTAGTAAGGAGGAGTCAAGTCTGGTGCTGGGTGTGGGATGCACTGGTGAGCCAGGCTCCTTCACTTTGAGAAGTTTGGGCTTCACGGTGAGAGTAACTGGAAGCCATAAGGGTCTCATACAGAGCAATCAGATTTGCATTGTTAAAAACTATCCCAGGTGTCTCATGGACAGTGGATACAGGGAGATTTATTATAAGGTTTGGCCATAGAGTAAATAACTAGCCTTGGGCAACCTGCTTAAACTGTCTTGATTTCTTCCTCTTTAACCCAAATTCAGTAATAGTACCTCCCCATAGGCTATGAGGATTAAATGAGTTGCTATGTGTAATCAGTTTAGAACAGCCCCTGGTATGTAGTAAGTGCTTTAAGTGTTTGTTAAATAGAATGCAAAAGTCTGGTTTCTGAGCAGTAGGTTGCATTATTCTGACACTACACTTCCCCTCACCTAGCATCAGACTGACCTGCTCCATGAAACCCAGACTGCTGCCAACTTGGAGCCCACCTAGTTTCTAAACCAAGTCTTCCTTCCTCTACCTGGGTCTGACTTGGACACCTCCATGTGGATTTGACATATGGCTGGCCAGACCTGGCTGGGCTTTCCCTTTTCCCAGAATACCTGCCCTGCACCCCACTGGGAATTCAGGCCTCATCCTGGCTTGCTAAGAGCACCAAGTGTTCTTGCTGTGCAGTCCCCACTGTGTTCCTTCAAAAGTTCAGTGGAGCCCAGTGGTAAGGGCCATTGCCCCTCCACAGATGGCACCCTGGCTTGTACGTAAGCTCCCTAACTCTGCCTACCCAGCCACGGCTGCTCGCTCTCTCTCCCAGATTGCACTTGGTGTTGGAAAAGAACACCACCAATGTGGAGATGAACTCATTTGGGGTTATGGTCAGCTCCTTGTTTCCTGTCTGTATTTGGGGCAGATTTGAACTGAAAGAGGGAAAAAGCAATAGTAAGCAAGAGGCCCCTCCTTCTCTCTATTTTAGGCAGGGTTCACTTTAACTCTGTAAAGCTCCTGTTTTCCACCTTTCCAGTAGATTCATTATTCTGTAAATCATGTAGTACATATTGCCGGTTTTTGTTGTTGTTTTTACTAATCATGAATGTCTTCTACTGAGTAGTAATGTTTTAAAGCTACTTTGTTAACTTACAATTCTAATTTGAAAACACTAGATAGGATGTCATGTACAAGTGGCAGGTTTCCACCTACATGACTTAGGAGTGTTGCCTGGATTCTCCTTTAAGGATACGGAGGGTGTTCTGAGCTCACAGGGCGAAAGTACATGATCGGCACAAAAGGATGCCTCTCACATTCAGAGTAGAGCTTCCCCCAGGGGTAGGGACTGCTGTTGAATCATGGTGGGGAAGGGCAGAGGGCATACAAGGCTGCTTCTGTATTTCTAATGTTTTACTGATTAAGTTTGAAGGTTTGTGAAATTTGACATAATATCTTGTATCTTTTTGGATGTGTCAATATGATGAAATTGAAGTGAGCACCGTGATAGTGATAACCACCCAGCGTGTCACTGATATGTGTGCCAAATGCTTGTCCCGGGTATGTGGAGCCTGCCTGCCCATCACTGAGGCACCCTTAGCCTCTACTCCCATAAGACTGTCATTTCCAAGTATTTGTGTATGAAGTTATATACGTATGTTTATATGCACAGATGCAAATTCACTTTATCTCATAATGTGTTATCACAAAATGCAGTATGGAACTTTTTAAAAAATCAAATATTTCCAAATAAAACTTTCAAAAAATATTTTTTTCCTGGTATTAAAAGATTTACATACATTTATGGGAGGTTAGGAAACATACTAAAGTAGAAAGAAGAAGAAGGGGAAAAATATATATATATAATGTTAATATAAATGTTAACAGTCTCTAGCACCACCCTAGAGACTGCTAACATTTGGTGATAGCTGTGATCTGTCCCCGAAAATTCATGTGTTGAAACTTAATCACCAATGTGGTAGTATTAAGAGGGGCTTTGGGAAGTGATTAAGTCATGAGAGTAGAGCTCTCATGAATGGGATTGGTGATTTTATAAGACGTGGAAGAAAGTGTCCTGGGCCCTTTTTGCCCCTCTGTTCCTTTCACCATGTAAGGACACAGCATTCATAGTGCCCATCCCTTTTAGAGGGCACAGCCACAGGACATCACCCTGGTAGCCTTCACCAAACACTGAACCTGCCAGCTCCTTGGTCGTGGACTTCCTGGCCTCCAGAACTGAGACATAAAGTCGTGCTCTTTATAAATGTCCCAGTCTGAGGTATTTTGCTATAGTAGCACAAACGGACTAAGACAGTGATATTTTCTTCCATTGTTTTTCCATTCCCATGTATGGATTATTTTTATATTGATAAGATCATTCTGAATATAACATTTTACATCTTTCTTCATTTAATAGTATAAGATAACCATTCAAAATACTATTAAGATTATTCATAAACTTTTTTTTTTCTTGGATATAGGGTCTCACTCCAACTCCCAGGCTGGAGTGCAGTGGCGTGATCATGGTTCACTGCAGCCTCAATTTCCAGGGCTCAGGCGATCCTCCTGCCTCAGGCTCCTGAGTATCTGGGATGTCAGGTGTGCACCACCATGCCCAGCTACTTTTTGGGTTTTTTGTACAAAAACACAAAACATGGATACAACACAAAATACAAAACTGTTGTCCCAGGTGGGGTTTCTTCATGTTGCCCAGGCTGGTCTTGAACTTGTGGGCTAAAGTGATCTGCCCGACTCAGCCTTCCAGAGTGCTGTGATTATAGGAGTGAGCCACCATGCATGGCCCCTTTATAAGCATTTTAATAGCTTCCAGTGAGCCACTATATAAGAATATTATAAATTAATCATTCCCTGCTATTAGACAATTTTCACTGTATGAGAAATAGCAACTGCATGTTTGAGCATAGCTTCTGTCATCATATTTGCATTTGTTTCCTTAAATGTATGCCAGCTATATTAAGGGTTCTGAATATTCTGAAGACATTTAATACATTTTTTTTCAAGTTGCTTTCTATAAGGCAGGGCCTTTGTTAGTCCGTAATCTGTGTGTGTTCAGGTAACAGACCTCTGGGCAGACACACACCTGGAAGTCTGAGCTTCCCGATGAGTTCCATGCTGTGTTACATCTGCTCACACTTCGTGGACGCGCTGGTGCCATTCACAGCTGCACCCTGTATGGAAGATCCTTTTTTTTTTTCTTTTTTTTTTTTTTTTTTTTTGAGACGGAATCTCAATCTGTCACCCAGGCTGGAGTGCACTGCAACCTCTACCTTCTGGGTTCAAGCGATTCTTCTGCCTCAGCCTCCCAAGTAGCTGGACTACCGGTTCATGCCACCACGCCTGGCTAATTTTTTGTATTTTTAGTAGGGACAGGATTTCACCTTATTGGCCAGGCTGGTCTTGAGCTCCTGAGCTCGTGATCTGCCTGCCTTGGCCTCCCCAAGTGTTGGGATTACAGGTGTGAGCTACCACGCCCAGCCGGAAGACCCTATTTCTGTTCCTCCTGGAGCGCACGTAGAGTACCTCTTTCATAGAACCCCATACAGCATTAGCTATTCATGTTTGTAACAACTTGAATTCATTAAGTGAAAGTGGCATATAGGTGTTTTACCTTACCCTTTTTGATTATGGAGGACAAACATTCATTTATGTGCTTCTTAGTCATTTGTATTTTCTCTTATGAATTATCTATTCATATTTATGGTTATGCTCTTAGTGTTTGTCATATATTTTGTCCATTAACTTGATAACATAGAATCTGTACTATTTGTTGTTAACATTCTTTCTAGTTTGTGATCATATTGTTTTTCTGGTAAACACAAGGTTTTATTTTTATTGAGCACAGCCAAACCTCTTCCCTGATGATTTGCTCCCAGGATGTTCAGTTCTCAGAGTTCTTTCTCATTCAGACACTTGAAAAGTGTTCATGTTTTCTTCTTGTGTATTATTTCATTTTTAAATTTGTCTCTTTAATTTACATTAAACTGGATTATATTTAGATAAATAATGCCCGCTGAGAATCTTTTTTTTTTCTTTTTGTACGAATAGTTTTTGAGGCACCATTTATTGCATAATCTGTCTTTTCTCTACTGATTTGTGATGTGTTCTCTATCTTTTATTAAATTCTCATATCTTGATCCTTTTTTAGTTCATGAGCATGATGATTAGGTGTTTCACATGCCTGTGTGAGATGCACCGCCCTCGAACCTTGTATGACATCGGCACTTTAACAATTTGACCTTTAAAAAAAATTATAATCTCTGTTAAACATATTTTACTGAGTTTAAAACAATAAAATTTCATTCTTAATATAGGTAAAGCACTGCTTATTCGTTATATATATTTTTGTTTCAGTGTTAAAGGTTGTTTAAATTGAATTCTTTTTAATGTATTAACTTTAATGTTAACATTTCTCTGCTATACTTTGAATCAAGTAAATTGGGTACCTCGACAAACATTGTTTTGTTTCATAGAGACCACCCCATTTACAAATAAATCATAGGCATTGTACATAAAAGGCACTTGTATTCACTTTTAAAGAACTTAACTTTTTCTATTTATGTTTTTTAGGGTTTATTATCTCATATACTTTCAGCACTCAGATTTGATAAAGAAGTTGCTCTTTTCACTCAAGGTCTTGGATATGCACCTATAGATTACTATCCTGGTTTGCTTAAAAATGTGAGTATTTAAAATTTATCACTTTTGAAATGTTCAATGTTGAATATATCATCAGCAAAAAGAGTAAATGGAAATATTTTGGTCCTCCAGAAGAGATGTTTAACTTTTCTTTGTTTATCTCTTTTTACCTTGGGCAGACTTATGGCCATGTAAGGAAGAAATGTGAGATGGGAAGTTATGAGAAAGAAGGAAACCAGGAAGGGTTTTACTAAACAAACCAATCAACCTCTCTTTCTAGTCACACATCTCACTTATTCACTCTGATGTTTGGGAGAAAAGCTTTTCTTAGCTATTATAAACACAGTCTTGTACCTTTAGACAAATCTTATATTTAAAATAACCTGATTGGAATTTTCTGTTAAAGGAAAGCAGAAAATTCAATATATAGTATTACATATTTACCTCTTAGTATTAAAGCTTTGTTTTCTTCTGGCCTAAATTGTAGCCAAATGTAAGAAATTTTAACTTACAATCTTGATGTAACTCTTGTAAAAAATGTTAGGAGATTTTTAATGTTTGTTAACTGTTCTGGGATTTCAGAAGCTTTATACAAGAGAAGCATTTTTTTTAAAAAATCAACTAGATTTTGAATGAAGAAATAAACCAACATTTTATTTAAATGGATTTGGTTTTAATTCTTAGGAAATTAATGATCTGCCTATTGTTCATTGTCCAAATAGGAATTCAGAATTATAGATATTAAACATAAAATCCCAGTTATTAGTAAATGTGACATGGCACTGCTTCATTTTCACTCTGACAAAGTAAAACATTAGGAGAAGATGGGGGTTGGGGGAATCTCAACGGAAATATCACTCACACCAAGAAAAATAGAACTGAGGTAATCCTGTTTGCAGCATGAGTTAACCTGCAACTGATTTTGTTTTACAGATGGTTTTATCATTAGCATCTGAACTCAGAGAGAATCATCTTAATGGATTTAACACTCAAAGGCGGTAGGTGTTAAACTAAACATCCTTCTTCTCAAATTTCAAAATGTATCAATTTGGTTATGAGAGGAAAATTTTATAATTCATAGGAAATGCATGTTCAGTTATGGTTGTATTCTATGTAGAAAGATTATCTTATTTTAGTGGCATACATAGCAAATTGGTAAGTGTTTTCATATTCTTTTTTAAATCACTATTTTCTTAACTTTCACAGAGCAGTAAGTAAATCATGCAACATCTTTTGTGGGCCCATTAAGTAAAAAGCCCTATATATACAGTAGGGAACACAAAAGAAAGAGCAGCACTTAGTTTTATCCTGGGGTTGCTCACTCTGCAGGAGGGGAATGTACACAGATGCAAGCGTGTGCTCTCTTACTAGCCTGCTGTGGCTCTGCCTCCTCCTGCTCCCAGCACAGACACACACACAGGCAGAGTCAGGATATTTACAAGGCAACATTTTATGTGAACATATACCCTATTTTAAAAAACATCATATTCCAAAATCTAGACTAAACAAAGAGATTCAGACAAATTAAAAGGCAATTAATTACATTACAAATGTTTCTTCACTCTGTGAAAGAAATCAGTTTTTATTGGTGAGCATTTCATTTTTAACATGTCATTAATCAAGAGAATCTGAGACTGAGGGATTGGTGATTTTTTTTTCTTTGTAAAGCTGTTGCTAATTCCAGCTCTATCAGAAATTGTCTTTGTCCTCAACCTTTAGAAATCCTTTGCTCCTAACCCTTAAACTATGTAATTATTAGAGGAAAACATTGGAGAAGTCTTTATTATGTTGGATTGGCAATGTAAGAAGAAGAATATATAGGAGACATGGAAAGTGTTTAGATTTATTTATTTACATGTCAGGTAAAGACGGCTTTAGTTGTGAGGTGAATGAGGTGAATGTTGACTGATGCCTCTTTAGATTTATGTAATTATAAATTTATTTAAAAGGACTTTAAAAATCAGCCAGTGCAATGTGTATATACTCCCTACACCAAAATCCCAAAATGTACATCACAGTTGATGATTTTTTAATAAGCAGCTGACAATAAGTTTTTAAATTTATTAATAAATAGAAACAAAGGATCAGAATGCAAAATATAGGAATGACTTACAAAAATCAGTCATAAAGAGGCAAATACTCCAGTATGGAAAAGAGCAAGGAATATAAGCAGGTCGTTACCAAAAGATGAAAACTGAATTGATAATAACATTAAAGGAGTTCTTCAGGAGTGACATCAGCAAGATGGCAGAATAGGAAGTCCTAGACTTTATTTCCCAATAGAGACATTGACTTAACTACAACATACATCCCCCAAAAGTTTAATGAGAACTACAGAACCAATTAAGAAGTCACAATACTGCAGGCAAGCTCAAAGTCTAGAATAGCCACATTGAAATTGGTTAAAATGTCTATTTTGTGTCAACTGTGATAGCCCTTTTCTAAGGCTGACACAGCTTGGTGAGATTGGTAGGAAAAACTCAGCTTGTAGCTTCTCTCCCTTGGGAGGGAAAAAGAAGAGTGGAATGTGCATCCAACATTTTCACTTTTTAGGGAGCAGACGAGGAATTTATTTCTCTCTCTACTGACTGAGAGCACTAATGAGGAAATGGCATACAGTAATCCCTCTTTATCTGCAGGGGATATGTTTCAAGACACCCAGTGGATGTCTGAAACTGTGGGTAGTACCAAACCTGATTGCCATCAATCATATTTCTGTATTCCACTCACAAATTCAGTGTCTTTTCCATCCTAAGCACTTATCATGCATGATGGCTATAATTTTTGCCATGTGAGATGCAATGATAAAACTAACAAATTTTTTTTCCTTCTTTACAATTTCACAGACGATTTGTTTTTACGATAGATCTCAGCAACCTCAGCATGTGATTTTTTTCTTTCCTTATTAAGTTGAGAACTTTCACCTCTTCACTTAAAGGAAGCACTTTACAATTTCTCTATGGCATATCCGAATTGCCAGCCCCAGTGCTCTTGGACTTTGAGGTCATTATTAAGCATTAATAAAATAGGGGTTACTTGAACACAAGCACAGTGATACTGTGACAGTTGATCTGACAACCAATATGGCTACTAATCAGGTAGTGTATATCATGGATACCCTGGGCAAAGGGATGATTCATGTTCCAGGTGAGACATAGTGGGACAGCATGAGATTTCATCATGCTACTCAGAATAGTGCACAATTTAGGCCAGGTATGGTGGCGCGTGCCTTTAATCCCAGCATTTTGGGAGACTGAAGCAGATGGATCACCTGATATCGGGAATTCAAGACCAACCTGGCCAACATGACAAAACCCCTTCTCTGCTAAAAATGCAAATTAGCTGGGCATGGTGGCTCATGTCTGTAGTCTCAGCTACTCAGGAGGCTAACGCAGGAGAATCACATGAACCTAGGAGTTGGAGGTTGCAGTGAGCTGAGATTACACCACTGCACTATAGCCTGGGCAACAAGGGCAAGGCGTTATCTCAAAACAAACAAACAAACAAAAAAACGCACAATTTGAAAGAATTATTTCTGGAATTTTTTCATTTGATATTTTTGTACCACGGGTGACCATGGCTAGCTCAAACTACAAAAAGTAAAACTGCGGATAAAAGAAGACTACTTTTGATGCCTTGGGGCCATGGAGAACAAAAGAAAGCTAAGTGGTTTGTGGTAGCACCAGAGAATTGACAGTGCTGCGGATGGAGGCTGGTGTAGCTCAGCATAATTGGGAGAAAGTGCCTGGCTCATGACTTGTTGTTTGGGAGGGGAAGAGAAGAATGGAATATATATCCCGTATTCTGGCTTTTCAGGGGCCTACCAGAGGGACTGGTGTCAGTCTTGGCTGACCCACAGCGCTGACGGAGATGGCCTCACACTTCCGAACAAGATAGCTCAGCAGCTTGTTGCAGCACTGGAGAATCTGTAATACCACAGACAGACACTAGAGGGAGGAAGAGATTGGGAGCTCTTGAGAAAGAAACTGGTAAAGCCCTCTAATTTGGAAATCACAAGCCCTCTAATTTGGAAATCACATGCATAAGCTCAGAGAAGACATATCCTTGGAAAAGATTTGAGGGACCTCCAGAATCTCTAGTTGAGAGTCCATTTGTGAAAGTCTTCCCTGTACCATGTCTGTCCATAAAGACTGAGATAAGTGGATGTGTCTTTAAATGTACGAAATACAACGAAAACAACAAGATACAAAGTAAACCAGGGAAACATGGCATAATCAAAGGATCAGAATAAATCTACAGAAGCAGACCCTAAAGAAACAGAAATGTACGCATTACCTGACAAAGAATTTGAAATAATTGTCTTAAGGGATCTCAAGGCACTGCAAGAGAACACAGATAATTAAATGAAATCAGGAAAACAATACATGAACGAAATGAGAATATCAACAAAGATATAGAATAAATGAGAACCAAGCAGATATTCTGGAGCTAAAAAACCACAATAACTGAAATGAAAAACTTACTCGAGTGGTTCAGCAGTAGATTTGATCAAACAGAATAAAGAGTCAGAAAACTTGTACACAAATCATTTGAAATTATTAAGTCAGAAAAAAAAAAGAATAAAGGAAAGTAAAGAAAGCCTAAGACACTTGTGGAACAACATCATGTGGAACGGTATACACATTATGGTAGTTCTAGAATAAGAGAGAAAGGGGCAAAGAACTTATTTGAAGAAATAATGGTAAAAACTTCCCAAATATTTGGAAGGAATTTGATATCCTAATTTAAGAAGCTCAAAGGACTCCAAAGAATGAACCCAAAGAGGCCCACACCAACATAAACAAAAATTCGAATTGTCAGAAGTTAAAGACAGAATGTTGAAAGCAGCAAGAAAAAAGTAGCTTGTCATATAGAAGGAAGGTTCCAGAAGATTGTCAGTGGATTTCTCAGCATAATTACAGGCCAGAAGGGAGTGGGATGATACATTCAAAGAGCCAGAGAGGAAACAAAACAAAACAAAAATCCCTTCCAACTAACAATACTTTATCTGGGCTAAATCATTCTTCACAAATGAAGAAGTAAAGATACTCTCAGATGAACAAAAGCTGAAGAAGTTCATCACCACTAGACTTGCCTTACAAGAATTGCTAAAGGGAATCCTTCAAGCTGAAATGAAAGGATATTAAACAGCAACATGAAAGCATACAAAAATATAAAGCCTTCTGGTAAATGTAAATATACAGACAAATTTAAAATCTTATAATACTGTGTCATATAGTACAGTTGTACCTCAGTATCCACGGAGGATTGATTCCAGGACTCCCCACACATACCAAAATCTACAGATGCTCCAGTTCCACACCAAACAAATGGTCAATCTTTGGGTTCTACATCCTGCAAATACTATATTTTTGATCCATGATTAGTTGAACCCATGGATATAGAACACATAGATATAGAGGGCTGACTGTATATAAATCATTTTTAATTCTTGTATAGAACTTAAAAGATAAAAGCATAAATAAAATTAAACTATGGTGATAGATACAAAATAGAAAAGGATGTAATTTGTGACATTGATAACATAAACTGGGGAGGGAGATGTAAATGAGTAGAGTTTTAGTATGTGATTGAAGTTACCTTGTTAGGTTGTTATAATTCTAAGATGTTTAATGTAATCCCCATGGTAATAACAAAGAAAATACCTGTAGGAGATGCACAACAGAAAATGAGAAGGAAATCAAAGCATGTCACTATGAAAAAGATCAATGAAACACAAAGGAAGGGAATAAGAGAGGAAATCATGAACTGAATGACTACAAGGTATATAGAAAACAACAAAATGTCAATAGTAAGTCCTTCTCTATCAGTAATTAGGTGAACATGAATTAAACACCCCATTCAAATGATGTGAAGTAGCAAACTAGATCAGAAAACAAGATCCAACTATATCCTAGCTATATTCTGTCACTTGAGTTACAAGGATATACATAGACTGAAAATGAAAAGATGGAAAAATATATATCATGTAAATGGTAACCAAAATAGAGCAGGTATAGCCATACTTATATCAGAAAACTATCAAAAGAGACAAAGAAAAAGATTATATAATAGTCAAAGAGTCAATTCGCTGGGGAGATACAACAATTACAATAATATATATACTTAACAACAGAGCATCCAAATATATGAAGCAAACACCAATAGAGTTGAAGAGAAAAACAGACAGTAACACAATAATAGGAGATTTCACCACCCCTCCTTCAATAACAGATTGATTAACCAGATTGAAGATCAGTAAGAAAATAGAACTTGAGTAATGCTGTAGACCAATTGAACCTAATTGACATATATAGAACATTCTGCCCAGTAACAGTAGAATATACACTCTCCTCAAGCACATATAGAGCATTCTCTAGGAAAGATGACATGATGGGCCACAGAACAAGTCTTAACAAATTTAAGAAGACTGAAACCATAGTACTATTTTTTCTGACCACAGAGGAATGGAAATTAATAACAAAAGGAAAACTGGAAAATTCACAAATATGTGGAAATTAACACTCTTAAAAAATCAATGGGTCAAAGAACAAATTACAAGAAACATAGAAAATAACTTGAAACAAATGAAAATGAAAAAACAGCATATCACAACCTATGGGATGCAGCAAAAGCAGTTCTAAGCAGGAAGTTTATAGTGGTAAAGGCCTACGTTAAAAAAGAAGAAGGTGTACATACTTTTGAAGGAAGAAAAACAAGAAAAGAAGGATCTCAAATCAGAAACCTAACTTTACACCTCAGCAACTAGGAAAAGAAGAACAAACGAAACCTAAAATTAGAAGGGAAAGACTGATAAAGATTAGAGTAGAAGTAAATAAAATAGAGAATAGAAAAAAAATCAATAAAATTAAGAGTTGCGTTTTTGTAAAGATCAGCAAAATTGACAATTCCTTAGACTAAGTAAGGAAAAAAGAGGAGACTTAATAGCAAAAATCAGGAATGAAAGAATAGAAATTAAAACTGATACCACAAAAATTAAAAAGATTATGAGACTACTATGAATGATGATATGCCAACAGATTGAATAACCTAGAAGAAATAAATTTCTAAAAATATACAACCTTCATGACTGGATTATGAAGAAATAAAAACATCTGAACAGATCTGTAACTAATAAAGAGATTGAATTGGTTATTCAGAACCTTTCAACAAAGAAAAAAACCAGGACCAGATGGCTTCACTGGAGAATTCTATCAGACATTTAAAGAAGAAGTAACACCGATCTTTCTTAAACTCTTCCAAAAAATTGAAGAAGAGGGAACATTTCCAAACTCACTTTGTGAGCAAGCATTACCATGACACCAAAATCAGGCAATGAAACTACAAGAAAACAGACTGATATCCTTCATGAATCATGATGCAAAGATTCTTAGCTTAAAGTGTATTCAACAATACGTTAAGAGGATTATATACCATGACTGAATGAAAATTATTCCTTGAATACAAGGATGGCTCAATATACAAAAATTACTATAATGCGCCACATTGATAGAATGATGAACGGAACCCACCTGATCATCTTAATTAATGCAGAACTAGGATATGACAAAACTCAACACTCACTTATGGTAAAACATTCAACAAATTAGGAATAGAAGGTGATGACCTCAATGTAATAAAGCAATAGCATATTTGTATATATTTCTAAATAATTAGGAACAAGATCTCTAAGAAATATTTGCACACCCATATTCATTGAGTATTATTTACAAGAGCCAAGAGGTGGAAGCAACCTATATAATGCCTATCAGCAAATGAATGAATAAAGAGAATATGGTATCTCTACACGATGGAAGATTATTCCACCTTAGAAAAGAAGTCCTGTCATATGCTACAATGTGGATGAAACTTAAGGACATTATGCAAAGTGAAATAAACTAGTGACAAAAGGTAAATACTGCATGATTACACTTATGTGTGGTATCTAAAGTAGTCAAACTTGTAGAAACAGAATGTAGAATAGCGGTTACCTTGGGATGGGAGGAAGGGGGAAATGGGAGTTGTTGTTCAATGAGTATAGAGTTTTAGTTTTGCAAGATATGAAAGTTTTAGAGATTTGTTGCCCATAAGGACATATAGTGAACACTACTGTACCATACACTTAAAAATACTTAAAATGGTAAATTTTATGTTAATATGCTTTTCACCACAATTTAAAACTGGTCTGCGAGCTCTTCTGTGCATTTTCAGGAAAATGTAAACTACAACATCAGTTAGACACATCCATTAGGTTATGCTGAGCTTCAGGAGAGGACATTTATGTTCTGATGGGAACATAAGTAGGCACAGCCACTTAGCAGAACAATTTAGTCTTAGAATTTGGGATTCCTCATCAGTCTCTCCATGAGTGCTTTGGTTACTGTAGCCTCCAATAATTGTGGGAGGATCAAGAGGTGGTGTTAGTTGAGGTTGCCAGTAAATTGTATTCTGGGCATTAGAGTACTCCCATATTTTCTGGAGGTTTATAGCCATTTGGGACTGGCTTCTCCTTCACAGGCCTCCTTCCTCTTTCCTGTTAGGAGTCAGGACATTTCTATTATCTCTTGCCTAAGGATAGTGGATAAGAAGAAAGAGTGTATAAGGAAGGCAGTGGACAAGAAGAAAGAGTGTATAAGGCAGCTTGCTGCCAGGTTGCCCCCTGCTCCTTGAATTCACCCCCAAATTAACTCTTACCTTTTATAGTAGTCCTCTTTTGCAAGCTGTTAGGGCTGTGGTATTTTCCTTCAAAAAGATCCCACCTACCTACCATGTCAAGCTTTTCTCAGAATTTGTGGATTATCAAGAAACCCCCATTTTACAGTATTATATATTTAATTGTAAAAATTCTTTCATCGTTTCTAGGAGTTGGGAGTATAGCATGAATGCTAGGACATTCATGTCCTTAGTTCGTCGCTTGATTCAGTCTTTTAGGTTACATTTCCATCTTATTTTCTCTTAGCTAGATTATGAGAGTCACTGTTGTTCATAGGTCTTGCTGTTCAGTCCCCAGGATGTGTAGCAGTTCTATAACAGAGCTACTCAAAGTGTGGCCCTGCAAATCAGCAGCATCAACATCCCTGGGGGAGAGGCCAAGAAATAGGAGTTTTTTTAAAACATCTTTCCATACGTACTCAGGAAGTTCGAGAAATGCTGCTGTATACTGCTTCTTTAGAAGCAGTTCCCATAACTGCATAACAATCTGAATACTGTATGGTGACATGATAAAATTCTATTTATGGTTTTTGTTTTTGTTGATGAATTCCTTAATAGTTTAGCTGTATTATTTTGTTGATAATAGTAAATTCTCATGAAGATAATTTTTTGTCAAACTATCCATAGTGATCTATTACGTGTGAACAGTTTGTCTTTTCTCCTCAAATATTCACCTTTTCTAAATTGTACTTCCTGTTCTGTACCACTTTCCTAAGTGGCAGATATCCTTTCAACATTTACCTTCCACAGTGCTTTATCATCTTTCTCTTACCACCATGGTTTTAGATCTAAAATTCATTAATGTGTTTTTGAGTCCATCATCTAAGTTGTTAACAGAAAAGACACATTTAGCTTGAGCTGTAAATATCTTACATTTTTGGAATATATGAGCTTAACGTGTGGGGTGGTAGAGGGACATGTGTGGGTGAAGGTGTATGCTTTGCACATAGCCTAGCAGAATATATTGCATAGAATTAGGGCTGGATGGATGTTTGTACAATGGAAAGGTAGGCCTGAGAGTTGCATGTGTGTATCACTCATGTAGCGTCTGAAATAAGCAGGCAGGCCTCCAGCCTGACTCATCAGACCTCCTCCCCAAAAGATCTCTAAGTACAACCTTTCTCTCATTATCTGAAAAGAGGAAATGAAACGAGTCAGAGATTATTTACTAGGTGGAAAGACTGTGGTGCCGAAGACATTAATCAAGTAATGCAGCTCATGGCTGTAGACTGTATCTTCTAATTAGGCTGGAAATGATCCAAGATAATTTTCCTGAAAAATTTAAAAATCTCATAAAGACAGGTAGTTCTTGGGTGTACCAAAATTCGGTCAGGCCAACTGATAGTCTTCCAAAGAACTTCAAGGTGCACACAGTCTTCATGGCTCCTCTTTTGGTCTGAAGTTTGTCAGAGTGTGGAGATCCAAGTTTAAGTGGGGAGTTAAGCAACACTTTCCAGATTGAATTACACTAAGCATTAGGTCTTGACTGATTGCCAGAGCAGCACTTCCAAATAATTTCTGCACAGGAATTCAGCTGCAGAAGGCTAGACAGTAACCATATACTGCTGGGAGCATCCTTCCTGTGTGGCTGTATTGTAGCTTCCAAACCATCTGCCTCAAAACACAGGGCTATGGGATAAACTGACAATGCTCAGAGTGTTGTTCCTTTTAGATGGTTTGTAGCAAAGAACAGGATAGAATTTAAACGTTATGTCACTGAATTGTTGACTTTACTTGGTGGCAAGTGAAACTCTATTTAAAACCCTATGACAACACCATTTGTCAGGCCTCTAAAAATAATGCAAAAAGAAAATAAGCAAATTTTCCAACTTATTTTGTTCCTCTGGAGATCCGTGCGTCCGAAGTTATGAGGTCAATTTCTGTATTTTCTGTGAGACTTTTTGAATCTTTGGGAATGAACTTTAAACACTCAAGTGCTAAAAAATCAGAAAAAATAAATGCCTTCTAGAAGGAAAAAAACAAAAAAAACAGCATAGCATTGTTTATATGGTGCTTAAGTTTGGGAGCTCTTGGCTGCTTGGACATTTGAAGTCATACTTGTGAAAGGAAAAGAATGTTAAAACTCACATTCATAAGTGGATGTGACTCTCCTGAATTTAAGCATATACTGGAAAGTAGTTTGCCCATTATGCTATATTCTGATTTAATTGTTTTGATTTAAAAATCTTAAAAATGCACAGAGAACTTCAGATATGTAGGAGAAAGTTATGTAGAATTGTGATACCTATTTTAATTATTGTTACTATGATGACTAATGTCAGCAAAAAACGTAATGGCTCCAGCATGGTTGGCAGCTGTCTTGAAAATGTTGTCACGGTGCCATTCTGTTACCTGATTTCATTAAACCGGCTTCCACTTGAGATAGGAGCACACTTGGCAGAATTTATAATTCGCTGGACAACTGCAGACTTAAAAGTTTTGGTTCTCACACTACCTTTTAGGAATCCAAGTTATTTTATGGATGGCGAACAGAAAAGCTCCTAAAAAGACTCAAAAAGCATGGTAGGCATTAAATTGCTTTTTAAATTCAATCTTCTGATAGGTATAAATGAACTCAGTCTAAGAGATTGAATTACCTTAAAAACTATGTATAAGGGCTCAACACATTCGGAAAAGTACCTGGAAAAAATTTATCTTGTTGAATGCTAAAATTCTTTAAAGAAAATATTCGAAACATCATTCGGTAGAGCAAATTAGGAATGTATCAGATATGTCGGTTTACAGGGAGCACTCTACTAGCACAGACATCTCATATTCTTAGTAAATTCAATTAAGAATTTTACTGATTGTATCATAGGTTTGCTTTGACTGGGAATATCCTGAACTGCTAACTAAATTCCCATTTTATCCTTGCTCCTCCTGCCAGCTGGGATGCCAGCATGGGCATCCTTCAGTGGACTTCACTCTGTGCCAGGGAATTTGTTCATACTACTTTTGAAAAACAAGTATTCTTAACAACAACAGCAACAACAACAAAATTATGAACTGGGGAATAAACCTCTTCCAAACATTGTTTCAGCCCAGGTGCAGTGGTTTACCACTGTAATCCCAACACTTGGGAGGCCGGGGTGGGAGGATTGCTTGAACCAGAAGTTTGAGACCAGCCTGGGCAACATGGAGAAACCCCATCTCTAAAAAAAAAAAAAAAAAAAAAAAAAAAAACCAAACTCAAAAATTAGCCAGGTGTGGTGGTAAGCACCTGTGATCCCAGCTACTAGGGAGGCTGAGGTGGGAAGATTGCTTGAGCCTTGGGAGGTTGAGGTTGCAGTGAGCCAAGATCATGCCACTGCACTCTAGCTTAGGTGACAGAACAAGACCCTAAAGAAAGAAAGGAAAAAAAAAGATTATTTTAGTTGGTACCTTCCAGCAGAGTCTTTTAATTGTGGTTCAGAAGACTTTAGAAACCATTCTGAACAGCTTGTCTTCTGTCCAAGGGTGAGAAAATGAAAAGCACAAATAACTCTACAGAAATAGCCTGAAAAGAGACCAGTACAATCAAATAATGGGAAGAGGGCAAGAAGATGTAAATAATGGGGAAAAAATATTCCAGAGGGAAATAAATACTAAGCAATCTAAAGCTGATTAAAGATTTTTTTTTGGAGACAGAGCCTTGCTTTGTTTCCCAGGCTGGAGTGCAGTGGTGCGATCTCAGCTCACTGCAACCTCTGCCTCCTGGGTTCAAGCGATTCCCTGCCTCATCCTCCTGAGTAGCTGGGACTACAAGCACCCACCCCTACGCCCAGCTAATTTTTGTATTTTAGTAGAGACGGGGTTTCACCACCTTGGCCAGGCTGGTCTTGAGCTCCTCACCTTGTGATCCACCTGCCTGTACCTCCCAAAGTGCTGGAAAAGATGATTATATTTTAATGAGCTACCTTTGCTATTTTGGAAATAAGAACCTGAGGCAGTAAGTAACTTCTTTATTATGAATATTTCTCCTTCCTTCCTTCCCTCCCCTCCCCTCCTAATTTTTATATTTTTAGTAGAGATGGGGTTTCACCTTCTTAGCCAGGTTTGAATGCCACCCAACACAAATTTGTAAACTTTCTTAAAACATTGAGATTTTTTTGCGATTTTTTTTAAGCTCATCAACTATCATTGGTGTTAGTGTATTTTGTATTAACCCAAGACAATTCTTCTTCCAGTGTGGCCCAACGAAGCCAAAAATATTGGACATCCCTGGCATACAGAGTAACATAATAGACTGCAGAGACTCAGAAAGGGAAGGGTAGGATGGGTAGGGAGGGCAGGGATGAAACACTACACGTTAGGTGCAGTCTACTCAGGTGATGGGTACCTTAAGATCTCAGAATTCGCCAGTATACAATTCATCCATGAAACAAAAAACTACTTTTACCGACAAGCTATTGAAATAAAAATTTAAAAGTAAATATTCAAAGCTAAAAAAATAGATGCATTTATTAACTTCATGAAAATGAAAATGAAGTTTTAAAGAATATGCAAGCCCCCTACAGTGATCTACAGAAGCCTTTCCACCGTCCTCCCTGGTTCACTGGGTGTGGCCACATTGATCCCCTTTCTATTTTCAGAAGCTGAGGGCCTTTGCATTTGCTTTTCATCTGTCTGCAACGTTTCGTCTCAGTTGTATATGTGGCTTGTTCATGTACTTACTTCAGAGCTCTGCTCAAATGTGAATTTCTGTCACCTCTCAGTATTCTTTACTTTTCATCATGACACTCAATATCACCTGGCATTGTATTGTTTCTCTCTCTGGCGAGACCTTGTCATCTTTGCATCTGCATCATGTACCCCTCAAAAAGAGCCTTTACTACATACAGTAGGGGATCAATAAATACGTATTAAATGAACTAATAGGACAAAGATACACAAATACATAAACACATTCTCTGAAGAGGAAACACAAGTGGGTAACAATTATTGTCTCACAAGTTATAAGGGAAATGCAAACTAAGGCAATGAAATAGTATTTTTTTCATCAAATTTGCAAGAAATAAATAATGATATTATTGGAAAGGGTAGAAAAGTAAATTGATATGGTCTTTTGCAAGGCAGTTGTTTTTGTATGTTTGTTTATTTTTGAGACAGTCTTTCGGTCTTGCTCTGTCTCCCAGGCAGGAGTGCAGTGGTGTGAACACAGCTCACTGCAGCCTCGACCTCTTGGACTCAAGCAAGGGGTTCCCTTGGGGCTCCCACCTCAGTGCCCCGAGTAGCTGCAACTGCAGGTGGAAGCCACCACACCCGGCTAATTTTTGTATTTTTTGTAGAGATGGGGTTTCTCCATGTTGCCAGGGCTGGTTTTGAACTTCTGGGCTCAAGTGATCTGCCTGCCTCAGCCTCCCAAAGTGCTGGGACTTCACGAGTGAGCCACCACCCCCGACCTTGGAAGGCAATTTAATATGCAAGTACTCACACATGGACACAGACAGGCATATGCAAGGGTACTGCTGCAGCCCTGTTGCAATAGTGAAAAATCAGAAGCAGCCTCAGTGCCTACTGATAGTGGCATTGTTAATTACAGAATACATGTATGCTTTAATACTAGGCGGCAGGTTTTTAAGAATGAGGGACAGCTAATATGCTCTATATTGTGGTGCCATTTGTGTTTCACAAAATGCAAGACTAAATTTCTGTATTTATAATTACATATGAAAATACCTAGAAAAATGTTGAATAGACTCCACGCAGAACTTTCATTTTATTTATCATTCACTGGACATGGATTTGTTGAGCATGTGCTGTGTGAGAAGAATTATCCAAATGCTAGGGATAGAGTCGTAGGTAAAGTAGGAGAAGCTGCCTGCCATCATAGAGCTTCTGCCCTCATAGGAGGAAGCGAACCATGAGTGCTACAAGGGAATACTATATAGGTCAGGTGGTGAAAGGTACCAGGAAGAGAGGTAAAGCATGGGTAGGAAGGCACTTGAAGCTCCAGTGTCCAGTGGCGATTTCTGCACATCCTGTAAATGTGCACTGTCCAGTACTGTAGCCGCCAGCCACCTATAGCTGTTAAGTACCTGAAATGTGACTAGTGCAGCTGAGGAGCTGGATTTTAAATTTTATTTCATTTTAATTCATTTACATCTAAATTGCCACACATGGTAGACAGTATAATGACATGGGATGATCAGAGAAGACTTCACTTAACAAAGGGACATTTGAGCTGCAACCAGGGAGCTAGTCATGTATTTCAGGCAGAGTGAACAGCAGGACCTTATTTGGGGCAGTCAGAGGCAGAAAAGACAAAAAGGTAAGAGTGGAAGGAGATGAAGCCAGTGAAACAGATGGGGACCCACTATGGAAGGCCTTACTGGCTAGTGAAAGACATTGCTTATTCTCTACATGAGGCAGGAAGCCACTGCAAAGCTTTGAGCAGACAGGTGTTGTGATCTGAATTTTTAAAGGAGTGCTAGAACTGTTCTGATGATAAACCATAGAAGTGAGTGCAGAGGCAAGAAGTCCAGAGGCTACTCCATCACTCAGGCTGGAGGTAGTGGTGGATTGCTCTCCACACTTAGGAGGGCGGTGACGGAGGTGTTCCGAAGAGGTCAGATGTGTTGCTAGTATTCAGATAGATCAGATGAGAGGCCTGAGAGAAACGGAGGAATCAGGATTTGGGCCTGAGCAAACGAGACAGCACTGGGGAAAGGGAACACTGGGAGGAGAATTCAGGAGTTGTGCTTTGGGCATATTAAGTGCCTGTGGATATAAAGAACAAAGTCCTGGCCATGAGTGACACCGAAACAGCAATGGCAGCTAAAGGATTTCTTCCTAAAGAACTGGATAAAAGACAAGTGTTCATTGATGGTGTTAGAGTCATTCTCTTTGTTTAGAGGCAAAACAGGTGATGTGTTGTTGACCTTTTTAGGATGAAGGTTTTATAGGTCCTCAATTATGCGTGGTTCTTAGATTTGGGTGATTATTTCTTATTTCTTCCTTAGAATGGCTCCTGAACGAGTGGCATCCCTGTCACGAGTTTGTGTCCCACTTATTACCCTGCCAGATGTCGACCCCCTGGTGGAGGCTTTGCTCGTCTGTCACGGACATGAACCTCAGGAAATCCTCCAGCAAGAGTTCTTTGAGGCTGTAAACGAGGCCGTTTTGCTGTAAGTGGTGTTCACGTCTCCTATCATCCTGTGTCGTTTTTCCTTTTCTTAGAAGGCTGTGGTGTATTGGAAAGACTATATGACAGCAGTTTCCAAACGTTTTTGTCTCAGTGCCCCATATAACTCTTAAAAATTACTGGAAATCCCAAAGAGTTTTATTCTTTTAACTTTTATTTTAGGGTTGGGGATACAGGTGAAGGTTTGTTACGTAGTAAACACATGTCATGGCGGTTCGTTATACATATTATTTCATCACCCAGGTATTAAGCCTAGTTCCCAATAGTTACCTTTTTTGCTCCTCTACCTCCTCCTACCCCTTCTCAGGTAGACCCAGCAACTATTGTTTCCTTCTTTGTGTTCATACATTCCCAAGAGTTTTTTTAAAGATCTGTTAAACACCTATTAATATTTGCCATATTTGAAACTAAAACAAATTTTTAAAAATATATTTCTTCATTTAAAAAATAAAAATAATTTGATTACATGTTAACACAAATAGTGTATTTTTATGAAAAAAATGCTCTTTTCAAAGCCAAAAAAAACAGTTTGACAAGAGCAGCATTGGTTTTACATTTTTGCAAGTCTCATTTTCTGCCCTAAGACTGCTGGATTCTCATATCTGCCTCTGGTGGGATGTGTTGTTTCGGTTGAAGTGTATGAAGAAAATCCAGCCCCACATACATAGTAGTTGGGAAAGGGTGGAGTATTCTAAAAGCCATCACAGATCACTGTGGATAATTCTGCTTTGATAGCTCACCAAAATTTGAAAATGGTCATTTTTTAAAGGTTAGTTGCAGTGTGGAATCTGAAATTATGTCAGTTAACTTTCTATACTCTATTACATTAAAACCCATTGGTCTGTCTTGCACTTGCAGTGGATCTTTTTGTATAATTTTGTAGCATTATGCATGGTTCATGTGGAAGATCTTAGTTCATTGTATATTATGTATACATTATGTGTATCTTCCAAACATTGACATATTTCATATGCAGTATCAAAACCTACAGTCATTACTGTCACCACGGATCTCATCAGAAATGAGTTTAAGTATTGGGAAGCTGTGAAGCTTATGTTGGTGGACTTAGATTTTCCAGGATTCTAATTTCTGCTTAAAAGCTAAAATTTATCATGGGCTACAAATACTGTCATTTTCCTTAGGGGACTGAGTCATTTTGCTAATTATTGAGAAAGTCTGTGTCTAATCCCAACGTGTGACTAACCACTGCTTATCTGCTAGTCATTCTTTCAAGTCAATTTTCACGACAAAAAGCAGTCAGGTGAGCCCCAGCTGAAAGAATTGTGCAGGTGTACAAGTGGAGTGCTTTTCTCCAGACAACCATCGTTTTTTGTTATGAAGCAGAAGAGCTTTATGCACACTTTCCTCTTCACCATATAGAATTCTTTTCTAAAAGTATCCTTGAGGGCAACAGTTTAATAAAATCAGTATGTTATACTGCTTCATCAAGCATTCGTATGTGAAAACGTGGTGTTTCGACTGTGTGTGTGTGTGTGGTGGTGAAGAGTAGCATGAGGATTGTCTCTGCTCTGATTCCTGCTGAGATGCAGCTGTGTTACCCACTGTTGCTTTTGCACTATCAGCGCAAACGTCAACATGGTTGTTCAGGAAGAACCAGGAGATTCAAAATAGTGCTTCCCTACCACTTGTGTGTGTGGCCAACTTTCATATAAAAGATCTTCTGTGCTTGGTTGGAGCTGATAACAGACAACTACAAGCAATACAGCAAGCCCAGAGATTCTATTGTAAGGCAGAAGTGCAGTTCTGTTGATGACATACTAATTTATCACATCTGCATTTACATTGTTTGTTTTTCTTTAGACTCTGAATGATTGATCTCAAACTGATGTGGCAATTAATTTGCACCATAAGAGTATTTAAAAGATTGTTGCATAAGACACAATTAAATAAATCATTAACATCTGTAAAGGCAAGGGAAAAATAACTTTCCTCATATTTTTTTCTTTATTTACAGTTTAGCCCACTTTCTCTGGAGCAGATGTCTCCATCTTGTGAGTCAGAGAATTCTCTGATTTGTCAGTTTCATATTTTCTCGATGAAACATCGGTAGGATGAAAAATTGGATCTTTTAATCCTCATTTTTAAAGCCAATGATCCATTCTTAAATACAAGAAAATATATTATAAGTAAATGTTACTTTCCAAATAAAATATTGTAAAATTCCAAAATAATAATATAAAATATATATTAGATATATAAGTAAAATATACACTATGTATATACAAAAAATATATATCTAATAAAATTATTTAAAATAACTTAGATGAAATTTAAAAATTAGAAAAGTTTTCAAAATTAAGAAATATATATTACTGCAAAACCCAACAAAGTATACTTATTTTTTCTTATGTTTCCGTGTAGCCCCAAGAGAAACTATGATAATTTTTAAAATAAATTTTTCTTTTAACACATCTCAATTCTTCCCTTCTTCCTTGGAAAGGATTCTTTGGACCCCACTTTGAAAATTACTGCATGACCTTATGACTACTGCTGTCTTTATGACTCCAAGTTAGGAGTTGCTCCGTCAGCAGTGTTTTAAAACACTGTAAATCTACTATGGTGGTATAATTTGCAGAGTCCCCTCAGTCTCAGATAATTAGATTCAAAGTGTTCACATTTCTGAATTCAAGGTTTACATGCAATGTGATTTTAAAATGATACTTACTGCTTATGAACCTCACATTTTATTAAGAATACTATGGTTTTAAAATCATTTTATTAATACTATTTATGTTTTCAATTCTTTTCTTTTGAGATAGGGTCTCACTCTGTCTCATAGGCTGGAATACATTGGTGCAATCTTGGCTCCCTGCAACCTCAACCTCCCAGGCACAGCCTCCTGAGTAGCTGGGACCACAGGTGCAGGCCATCACACCTGGTTAATTTTTCATATTTTTGGTAGAGATGGAGTTTCACCATGTTGCCTAGGCTGGTCTTAAACCTCTGAGCTCAAGCAGCCTGCCTACCTTGGCTTCCTAAAATGTTGGGATTATAGGTGTCAGCTGCTGTGACTGGCCACCCAATTCTTTATTTAAATACTTTTAGGAGAATTGTTACATATATAGACCCTTCCTTGCTATACAGTGCATTTTAAAAAACAAAACTGCAATACCTTTATTGCATGTTAAAATTGACATTAGTTCCTTATCATCATCACATACCTATTCAGGAATTAAATTATCCTGATTGTCTTACAATTTTTCTTCCAGTCGGTTTGTTAGAATCAGAGTTCAAATCTATACATTGCTTTTGGTTTATAGGTTCTTTTAATTCTCTTTCAATCTCTCTTTGGTTTTTGTTTTGAAATTATTTGTTGAAATAGTACAGTTTCTTTCCCCACTCTCAGGTGGTAGAGCATGTCCGCCCTCTTGAGTGTGATAAAGGGTGTGCGCCTCAGGAGCGCAGTCCTGTGGGCTTAGGTGGCTCCTTTGGTCACATTCTCAGTTCTCATGCAGTCAGGCCTGTTTTGTTACCTTCTGTTCTGCTTCTCTGGTCTCTTGCATGTGTGTATGGCAGTATCACTGCTTTAGTGGTGGCATCAACTGTGTTCAATACAAAATAAGGCTCCTTCCCTTTGATTTCTCTTTACCAGGGTTGTTTTTAGTTTGTTTTGCTATCATTCCTTGTCTTATATTTCACGTAACTTTTAAAACCAATTTTTCTAGTTGCAGGGGAGACACCCAGTGTCATTTGGAGGAAGGACTCTTATAAGTGTATAGATTAATGAGAGAGCTGGCGTTTTGATGATGTTAAGGCTTTCTGTCCACCTGTTCGGAACACATATGTTTTTCCATTTGTTCAGCTTTTGTGATCTGAAGGGAGTATTGTATATACTTTTCACACATTGGACTTAAGCATTTCTTATTCCTAATGTTTTGTTTTATTTGTGTTTTGAATGTTTTCACTGTCGTAAATGGATCTTCTCCATCTTCAAATAGATTTTCATTATTTTGTTGCCTTTGGAAAATGGACAAGCTCAAAACCACTGATGTGATTACAGTTCGGTGTATTTCCATTTTTTTATATGTAAGTCTTAAAAATTAGGATACATATTTTAATTTCAGTTTGTAGGAAAGGTTGTAATCTGAGACTTTGTGAAAGTGAGATTTAAAAAGAGAAATAGAAGATTAAGCCTCTTGATGTTTCAAAAAATGGTTAAAAAAACAAAATGTCCTTTTTTCTACTTACTCTAAACCTTCTCTCAGAATTCACCCAATAAGTGGAGTGAGCTTCCTGAGGAGTCTGAGCATTATCTTTGGTTGATATTGAATAAAGGGTGCCGTGAATGTGCAGCACAGTGCTGGGATTCTTCCCTCACAGTGCCCCAATACCCACAACGGAGCACACGCTTCACGGCCCCACCGCTGACCATACCAGTTGGCATTTTCACTCTCTACGGTGATTTTTCAAAATATTTGCAAAGAATATTTAACTGGAATGCTCTTGCCTCTCACCGTGACAGCTCTCTTCTCGATTTCATCTAGGAATATATTTCACAGGAGATTATGGTTTCAGGTACCCCCATGTCCAACCTTACTCTTTCAGCAAGAGCTGAATTAAAGGGAATGTGGAGGAGAACACATCTGGTCCTCTGTGAAACCCCAAAAGCTGTTTCAGAAATCGCTGGCCAGGCGACGTGCTCAGAGAACAGTTACTCCTGCTCCAGCTCAGCACTCAGAGGGACGCCAAGGGCAGCGGCTCCCCAAGCAGGCCTGCACTCCCTTGCTTGTAATTTTGCTTGTGATAGCACGTTCTCCCTCAACAACTCATAAAATTTATTTAGTTTGGAAAGTTATTTCTGCTAACCCATAAGGGACAGACTGTCCAGAAGTGCTGGGTGGTCTTCAATGTGTCCAAATCCTGTGGCTTAAGCTCAGCAAGTTCCCCAAGCAGTGGCGTAAGAGCTGGAGCCTCTCCATGGACACTTTCCCGTAGACAGAACATCCCAGCCACATGTTGACACAGCGAGGCTGATCCAATCAATCAGTGCAAATTACCAGCCGCGCCCAGCACCCCCTCCCCAAATGTACTGCATGGTCGTTTGGAAACCACATGCTTTCTTTGACCAGTGCTCCCTACCCTGTGTTTAGCCTTCCAACTATTTGCTTACCACAGTATACCAGTGGAATTTCTTCTGTTTGACAATTGGCTGGTGTTTTTGGCCTTGGCTTCCAAATGCAGTCATATATTTTCAGCAATGGGCTGCCTGTCTTTTAAACAGCAGATGCTTGCCCCTCTTTATGGTTTAGATAGCCTAGAGGAACTTTTAAATTTCTTGGGCTAAATGTCAACTTTTCATGTCTGTCCCTGGGGCTGCCATCATAGGCACCTGCAGGCTACAGATTGCATAAAACCTTCCTGGGCGGGCTACTGAGGCCCTTTTGTAAGTCTGGAGTGTAAGAAATTCAGCATGACATGTCCTCTGAGGTCATCCGAATCCACTGCTTCAAAATACTGAGAAGCTTGAAGACTGGATGGAGAATTTTTTCTGTATGCTTGAATGAATGAAACAGTGGACAAATGAAAAAAAAAAAAAAAAAGAATGAAGGCATGACTGTGATCTTGCGATACAATAAGAAATTATATTTGGTATTTATCCAGGCTCCTAAAACCCTTGGAATTTCCTGAGTGATGAGGTGAGAAAAGCATCTTTTATTATTCGTAAGTACCTTTCCACCACATCTGAGTGTAGAACAAGCTAGTGAAGTAACTCCTGGTGGGCCCTCCACCCCCACCATAGCCTCCGGATGGGGGCTGGTAGCCAGAGGAACCAACCATAGGAAAAAAGGCTGGAGCTTTCAGTACCATACCTAACCCCCAGAGTTCGACCTGATCACTACTGGCCAGTGATTTCATCAGTCATACTTACATTGTGAGGCCTACATAAAAATGCTAAACTGTAGGGTCATACCGCTTCCAGATTTGTGGTCACATCTAAGTGCTGGGAAGTTGGCATGCTTGGAGAGGGCCTGGGAGCTCTGAACTTTCCCCCAGGCGTGGCCTTCTGCATCTCTCCTATGTGGCTGTTCCTGAGTCGTATCTTTCAGAATAAACTGGTAATGGCAAGTGAAGCGTCTTCCTGAGTTCTGTGAGCTATTCTAGCAAATTATCAAACCTGAGGAGAGGGTCACTGGAACCTCTGATTTTATAGCTAGTTGGTCAGAAGAATGAGAGGCCTGGACTTGTGATTGGCATCTAAAGCAGGGGCAGTTTTGTGGGACTGCGCCCTTAACCTGCGGCATCTGTGCTCCTCCAGGTGGTGTCAGAACTGAATCATTGGGTACCCAGTTAGTGTGTAGAGAGTTGGGAGTATTGGTTGGTGTGGAGGAGAAAATCCAAGACTCATATTGAGTGTGAGAAGTGCTCTGTGAGGAAAGACAGCTCCTAGTAGTGGGAATGACTGACATTCTAGTAACTGACTGACCACGCTAACACTCACAGCTCAGGGGTGGCTCTGAGTGTTAAATAGAGCAGCCATATGATTTAAAATCTAGACCATGCCACTTTTGAGCGTTAAAGGAGATCCCTTTTATAAGTATGGTGGGATAACAGAAGTAAACTTGCAAACTGTCACACACTTAGTGTGACAAATGCTCACACTAAAATTTAAATGAGTTGAATGCCTGTAATAGTCTTAGCACAGTGCCTGGTACCCACAGTAAATACTCTGTAACCATTAGTGTCTACACCACACCACCCTTAATGTGCCCAATCTCGCCTGATCTCGGAAGCTGAGGGGGATTGGGCCTGGGGAGTAGCAGGTGCTGTGGGCTTTAAAAAAGAAAAAGAAGAAAACCAGGCACACTGGCACATACCTGTAATCTCAGCTACTCAGAAGGCTGAAGCAGGAGAAGTACTTAAGACCAGGAGTTCAAGTCCAGCTTGGGCAATGTAGCAAGACCCTGTCTCTCAAAAAGAAAAGTAAAAATAACTGTTAGCACATTACTATTACCATTATTGACTCCAGTAATTTATTATTTTTGACAATGTGTAGTATTAGGTTTTCTCAAACTCACATTTTTGCCCCTAACAAAAGAATCACTAAACTAAAACCAGATGTAAGAATAATTCTCATTGCCGGAATAGCTAATACGGCTTCCAACAATGCTTAATAAGAAAACAATTCATTATCCTATGAGAAGAACCTAATTTATGCTTCTTGACTAACTTATTTATTAGTAGTTTACTCATCTGGTGTGCTCTTGCATATCAAATTACCCCAAAAACAGGAGTCTAACTAGAATTACTCTGAGGAGCCACAGATTCTTTTGAATACCCTCAGTATCGTTCTAGCCATGTTACAAATCAGGAAAATAGGACCTCTGAAAATGGAACCGCAAATTACAAGAAAGGGCTGACCTACAATCAAGCTGTTGGGTTTGTGCTTTTTTTCACCTTAGATAAGAAAAATCAGGATTTAAATATTGTCAAATCATATAGGTGAGTGTTTAAACAAAAGAAAGATCAGCATAATACCAAAGACAGAAAGATGGCAAAGAATTAGCAGTAACCAGAACTCCATTTCTATTAATATTGTTTATTCATGATTGAAACTGAGAGACTGCCTCACATCCTTTTATCTTCTTTTTGAGACAGGGTCTTACTCTGTCACCCAGGCTGGAGCAATGGCACAATCATGGCTCACTGCAGCTCAACGTCCCAGGCTAAGGTGATTCTTTCACCTCAGCCTCCCGAGTGGCTAGGACTACAGGTATGTGCCATCATGCCTGGCTAGTTTTTGTATTTTTGGTAGAGACAGGGTTTCACCATGTTGGTCAGGCTGGTCTTGAACTCCTGACCTCAGGTGATCCGCCCTCCTCAGCCTCCCAAAGTGCTGGGACTACAGGCATGAGCCACTGTGCCCGGCCACATTCTGTTTTTTATTTATTCATTTATTTAGAGACAGCGTCTTGCTCTGTTGCCCAGGCTGGAGTGCAGTGGTGCAGTGTTGACTCACTGCAACCTCTGCCTGCCAGGTTCAAGTGATTGTCCTGCCTCAGCCCCCTGAGTAGTGGGATTACAGGTGACCACCACCATGCCTGGCTAATTTTTGTATTTTTAGTAGAGACAGGGTTTCACCATGTTGGTCAGGTTCGTTTTGAACTCCTGACCTCAGGTGATCCACCCTCCTCAGCCTCCCAAAGTGCTGGGATTACAGGCATGAGTCACCATCCCCAGCCCCACATCCTGTTTTTTTAACCTTAATAAGATATGGTTACAAATTTAGTCATAGTTTACTTTTCTAATAAAAATCTGATATTGATGTGTAATCACCAGACATTCTGGTGTGTTTGGGTTTGGACATTTCTTCTGCTTGTTGGTGGCTGCACTTTGAGAAGTGAGCTGCTCTGCACATACAGATTATAATGATGGCAACCATAGTCTGAATTGTGATGATTGCTTAGATCAGGCTGTCACCTAAATACAACTTTAGGATGTGAGCAATGTTCTTTACACTTCCATGGAACTAAGCAGTTCTCCAGAACAGTTAATCTCAAGTTTTGTGAGCTTCTCTGGCAGCCCAAACAGCCCTGATCTGTTTCTGGTTTGAAAATGTGGATTGTTGCTGGCGCACCTTTGTCTTACCTAAGGAATCCCTGGCCTCCCCTCTACTCAGTGTTAGAACACAACCTCCCAGATGGGCCTCTCTCATCAGGAACCTTTCTTGAGAAGAATTTAATTATGCATTCTGGTTTTTTTTTTTTTTTTTTATTGTAGCTATAAAAGTATTTGGAGCCAAAATTATTTAATAAGCAGTTGAACCAATTTCTTTACCTGCTGCCTCTTTTTGGAAAGGATGAGAAAAAATAACTGCCTTACTAAACTGAGTATATGGGAGAAACAAAGTACAGTTTTCTAAATGTCAAGGAGGTGTCCGTCCAGAGTCTGTTGGACAGGGGAGAGCGTCCTGTCTAGGCCTCCCTGCCTCGTGCCAGACACTGTCACTGCAAATGAGATTTCTAAGTGGAGCCCTGACTGGAAGCCTACTACTCATTTTATTTTAAAGGAGAAAATAGTAACGTATTGCACATAAATTCCAAATGCCCTACCCATTTCCTGAAACATAGCTACAATACAGAAAACTCTCTTAATTATTAGGTAGGGATTTGGGGGCAAATTTGTGTCTTTGTTTTCCTTGAAGTCATGATTTTGGTCAGGTCCAGGTAGGATGGGTGGAAGCAGTATGGAGGAGAAAAAGCACGACCTTTGTGCTTCTGTCGCTAACACACTCAGCAGAATGAAATTTTTCAGTCCTCCTAAAAACAGGTTTTTCTTTTTTACTTGATTGGCCCTTTAAATTTTCCACAGAATATATATTCATTTTATCAGGTCTAACCATACAGCACAGGGTATATACAGAAAATGTTCATTACCTCCTCCTCCTTATGCTCCAGTTCTGGTAGCCATCCATACCTTATGCTTGTTAGACGTAAAGTCCATGTAAAGCCATTGTCTGCTCATTGTCAGAAGCAGCATTACACCATAGATACATCACCCCAGAACCTGCTTTTTAACCAGCGTGTCTTAAATGCCCCTCACAGGACATCAGTCCAGCTAATTTGAAGTAGGGGCATAGTCCGTGGCATGTGACCCGCGTTCTAGTCCGTGGTTGCACATTGCAGTGTTTCTAGTTTTGTCCTTATATTTAAAGATTGCAGTAAATATCCTCAAACTGATGTTTCTATTTCTGCCTGGCAAATTCACAGCAGTATAATGATTAAGACAGGTGTGTGTGTGTCTTGAATTTTCTTCAGTGGTGCCACATGACTGACTGGACGTGTGAAGCCACTGCCCGCCCGCCTATGAGGAGGTGCACCCTCTGCCTGCCCCAGCACTGGGTGTTGTCACTGCTGAACGCCAGCACTGCGAGGGTGAAACTGACTGTACCGGTGCACTTCCCTTTCTTTACTGTTCATTAGAGGGGGGCGCTGCACATTTTTATAGGCCATTTCCAGTTCTTTTTCTGTGCTTTGCCTTTTTATTTAAAGCCAGCCTGGTTCACATGAAGAGCACTGTGTAGAATACAGATGTGTTGGCTCGGCCAAATTCTGTTAAGCAAGCATATCAACGTCATGCTGCTTCGGTGATTCCTTGGTTCAGGAGTGATTACAAAGAGTTAAATCACTGATGTTTTAGAGCAAAATCTATTCAAATATTAAACACGGGTCCATAAACTTAACCACTCGCAGCAATTAGTAGGGTGTGCTCCTAATCTAGGCTCTAATAAAAAGCCATTAACACACACAGTTTTCAAACTAGAATGGGAGCATCACGCTCTTACTGACTAGAGTGTGATTCGTGTGCTTGTGTGACTGTGCAGTGTCTGTTCATTCCTTCTGCTGAGTGGGACGGGTCAGTTCTGCATTGGTTCATGTGAATTTGCTGCTGCTCCTGGCAGCCTGGCCTGCATGCGGCACCAGCCTCCCTGCCATCACCTGGCAGGATGAATGACATGTACTGTGCCATGGCTTTCGGCCAGGACTTGGTGCTGGTGGAAGACCTCTCACTGCAGTGAAGCACCTTTCTGATGACATACAGATTCATGTTACATGGATTCTAAAGAAAGATAAGGCATGAGGAAAGCTGGTCACAGCCAGCACTGCTGCTTGAGAGGGAAGGAGCTACTGAGAGGCGAGCTCTCCTCTTCAGAGCTTCCTGGCTCGTGGTGGGGGTGGTCCTGGCTCCATGATGGAAGCTGCAGGCACCCTCTCCACACCCAGGGGTGTTCTGCTTCCCCCTGATTACTGGACAGGAACCCCTCCCCAGGGCTTCTTTGTTGTGGCTAAAATTCGCTGACCACCTGGATAGGAAAAGCATTTCCCCTTCACAAGGGGCATGAGCACAGGCACGGCGTCTGGCTCACCCAGTAAAGCTGCCTGCTGTCCCCCTGAGCCCGCATCCTGCACCCCTCCTCAGAGCCAGCATGGTCCTGTACTCACTCCAGCCCCAGCTGCCCTGGCTTCAGGTCTTACAGCTGTGAGTCCTGGTCCTCTCTTTTCTCGGCTGCCTCGCCTGTGCAGGAGGGAGTCATTTTTACCTGTTTTGTAGGGCTGTTATGAGGATTCAGGTGCAAGCGAAACATCATCTCTCCATCCACTGCTGTTCAGCCTCTCCCACTCCTCTGCACCTTGCCCATTAGCAGTCTTTCAGGAGCACACAAGGCCCCACCTCTGGGCTACCGCCTGGCATCGTCCCCATCACCACCAGTCCCCTGAAGTCCTGTCTCCAGTCCTGGCTTCACCTCCACTCCTCTCCTCCCTCTGCCACATGCTGCCATCCAGGGCCTGCCCGGCACACCCAGGGTGCATTTGCCCTCCGCAGCGCTGCTCAGAGGCACACTTCCTGCCCAAAGCCTGTGTCTCATGCTCTGGCAGCAGCGTCCTCTGCTTCTGTGCCTCTTGTCATCTGCAGCTTCTCCTCTCTTGCCTGCTGCTCAATCCTCTGCTCCCCACTCAGCTTCCTCCCTTGGGGTTCTGACACCTAAATGTGTACCTTCAGCCCATACCTCTCCCAGAGATTCCACCTTGGATATTCAAGGACCTAGTTAATATCTCTGCTCAGTTGTGCCTCAGACACTCCAAATCCACACACCTCGACTGAGCTGTTACTAAATCCTCCACAAATCTTTTCTTCCCTTCTTTACGTCTGAGGAAGTGGCATGTCCAGCACTGAGGAGGTGTGGCACCGTGGCAGGGCTTTGCCGGGTATGAGAGGTCGGGGGATGAGGAACACAGCCTGCTGGTGGCTCCTGGACAAGTTGAAGTTCAGGGTGCGAGCGTGAGATTGGGAGGTTCTGAGGTGAATGTGCCCTCCCTCCCCCCGTCTTCTGCAGGCTCCTCTGCAGTCCCCCTGGGTCTTCAGCATCTTCCCTGCTTCTTTTGCCCCATGGTCAACCCAGGACAAGGTCTGTAGGAGTTACAGCAAGCAAGCAGAAAAAGCAAAACCTCTAGGAACTGCTCCCCATGTCCCCTGCTCTGTCCCTTCCCGTCCCTGGACCCAGTGCTGGGCTTCACACCAACTCTGCAGAGAAGCGGCCTATGAGTCATGGTAAAGGGACAGGCATTGTTGTTTGGGGCGGGAGAGCCTGTGCCCCCACTTCAGTTTTCCTTATTATAGCAGTAGCATCTGTGGCAGCCAGAGAGTGGGAGGGGGTGACAGTGACTCTGCTGGAGAGCCAGGCCTTGGGACACACACACTGCTCTCTTTTCCCCACCTCAAGATTTGTATGCATCTGGCTTCATTTCTATTTGCTTAGTTTCCTTGGGGCAAGACAGCAGATTCATGAAAAAAGACATCAGGTTTGAAAAGCACCCACTGGTAAGCACCCACTGTCTGGGATGTGCAGGTAAAGGGCACACTGCCCTGGGGGGGCAGCTCCACTGTGTCCCAGAGCCAGCAGCAGGGGCTCAGAGTCAGACATGTGCCCCTCATGCTCCCTCCCAGGAGGGGAAGTGGAGCCCCAGTTCACTGACACAAGAGGACCTCAATATATTTTCCCATAGGAAAAAAAAAGTAGCTACACAAAATGGTTGTGTCTGTAGAGTACTGGTGCTCAAGGCTGTAATCCCAACATTTTGGGAGGGTGAGGCAGGAAGATTGCTTGAGGCCAGGAGTTTGACACCAAACTGGGCAAAATAGCAAGACCCCATCTTTACAAGAAAAAAAAAAATTAGCCAGATGTGGTGGTGTGCACCTGTAGTCACAGCTACTGGAGAGACTGAGGCAGGAGGATCACGAGCCCAGGAGCTCGAGGTTACAGTGAGCTGTGATCACACCACTGCACTCTAGTTTGGATGAGAGCAAGACTCCGCATCTATTTGTTTTTAAAGAAATCTTTGATTCCCAGTCCTGCCGATCTGTCCAGTATCATAATTAAGGTCTAGTACATCAAGTAGGCCATGACCACAATATATGAAATTGGATTTTTTTCTTTTGAGACAGAGTCTTGCTCTTTTGCCCAGGTTGGAGTGCGGTGGTGTGAACACAGCTCACTACAGCCTCAGCTTCCTGGGCCCCAGCCGTCCGCCTGCCTCAGCCTCCCGAGTAGCTGGGATTACGGATGTGCTACCACTATGCCAAGCTAATTTAAAACATTGCTTTTTGTAGAGGTGGAGCCTCACTATTTGACCAGGCTGGTCTTGAACTGCTGGGCTCAAGTGGTCCTGCCACCTCAGTCTCTCAAAGTGTTGGGATTACAGGTATGAGCCACTGCATCTGGTCTTAAAATTGTTAAAAATATTTTCAACTTTCTGGCCGGGCGCGGTGGCTCAAGCCTGTAATCCCAGCACTTTGGGAGGCTGAGGCGGGTGGATCACAAGGTCAAGAGATCGAGACCATCCTGGTCAACATGGTGAAACCCCGTCTCTACTAAAAATACAAAAAATTAGCTGGGCATGGTGGTGCGTGCCTGTAATCCCAACTACTCAGGAGGCTGAGGCAGGAGAATTGCCTGAACCCAGGAGGCGGAGGTTGCGGTGAGCCGAGATCGCGTCATTGCACTCTAGCCTGGGTAACAAGAGTGAAACTCCGTCTAAAAAAAAAAAAAAAAATTTTTCAACTTTCAAGCAATGATTACAATTACAGTTATTGAATATTTATGTGCCAAGCACTGTGCTAATCACTGTACGTGTGTTGTTGCATTTGATCATTATAAGAACACTATGAAGGAGATAGGCCTGTTTTACAGATGAATAAACTGAGGTTAAGTAACTTCCCCAAGGTCATATAGTTAGTAAGCAGTGGTGTTGGGACTGAAACCCAGGTCCGAGTCCCTATTGTAAAGCATGATGACTTACATTTGAACATGCCCACTTGTTTGGTTAGAGACTGGGCATCATAAGGCCTTTTCCATCCTGTTTTTTATCACTCCCTTTTTTTTTTTCATCACTAGACATTTGCTTATCCTTTTTGAAAGCATTTTTTTTTTCCTGAGCATTTCTGATTTCTTAAGAGGAGTTGAAGTGGAAGCATATTCACATTATTTTGCAAATGAGTACATGGTAAATATTCACTGATTCTATAAATTATTAGCCACTGCTATGACCATGATGAGAGGAAGACTCACAAATTGGATTAGTGATTGCATTTTGAACTTTCTTAATCTTCTTTTTTCAGTAATCCATTTCTATTTAAAATTTTGTTTATTTCTTTCTGAAAGGAAGAAGATTTCTCTCCCTGTGTCGGCTGTAGTCTGCCTCTGGCTTCGGCACCTTCCCAGCCTTGAAAAAACAATGCTGCATCTTTTTGAAAAGCTAATCTCCAGTGAGAGAAATTGTCTGAGAAGGATCGAATGCTTTATAAAAGATTCATTGCTGGTACGTGCTGGGCTTTGATGAAAAGCAAAATCCTTAAAGGAGATGCTGGGAATCATTTCTTTTAGTCAAAGAATGAAAGTGGGGGAATGTAAGCAAAAGAGCAATTGGAACCTTTATAAATAATCGTGTATTTACATTTTATTTTTAAAATCGCTAATGTAGGGGGCTATTCTTCATCCTTGGAGCATGCAGGGAGAGACTTGAGGTTTACTTGATTGATGTGCCATATATCACATGTTCACCAGAATTGACATTTGTACAACAGATTTTTTAAAACAGTGTTTTTTATTTCAATATGGAAAATAAGTTTTTAGAAATGAACTTACAGGTTTGAGGAGGAATCAGTTAAACACATTCAAAAAATAAACTTTTAGCTCTTCAGTAGCGGAAAGATGAAATACTCAAGAAACACAAAACCCCAGAAATATGGTTAAAGCAGCAGAACCAGCTAAGACTTCTGTACGTTTTCTTTTGGTGTGAGGCCACCTGCCTTCAACCCTCCCTTCATGGTGGCACCAGGCTCCCTTCCTGCTCAGAACTGTGCAGGGGGGACTCTGACCCACATGGACTTTCACCTTCTGGCCCAGTTTCTGGCACCCTGGGCTCTCAGTGGCCCTTGCCATCACTGACTCACTAGTCATCTTCCTTCATGGGAGGCAGCTCTGTGGAATTGGAGCACATTTTGTAAGCACAGGAATAAAGACCAAGGCACCCTGAAAAAAATGATGCAGAAACCTGCAGGTGCCGTGATCCCAAAGCCTTTGTCCTCCAGGAGCCCCAGTGGACTCTGCCCTGTTTTCCTTTTAGCTTTTGTAACCCGCAGGGATGTGGCACAGAGATTGTCTTCTGCCTTTTCCTGCAGGTGGAGAAAGTAGTTCTGGGAGCCACAGTGAACAGTCCGGTCTTCAGTTGGTGGCTGGGACACGGAAGGAGGGAGTGTTCACCCTTGCTCTTGAGCTGAGACTGAGGAAGGCCCTGAGGTTGGCTGTGCCCACTTGTCCTGAGCTCATACAGCCTCTGCCTCCCAGACACCTTCAGCTTGTTTGGTTCAGTTGGAACTTCTGTGTGCTTTCTTTCTCTTTCTAGTTGGAGACGGTCTGAGGGAATCCTAATGGAATCAGTTGCCTTCCTCCTTGATCCCATTTCTCCCCTTGTTTCATGGCCCCTTTCACCCTTCCCCTGGCCTCCCAGGGTGATGTGCATAGGGTCGCAGGTGCTGACAGCCACACGACTCTCACCGATACCTCAGGCTGCACAGACAGAGCCCACCTGACTTGAAAGTTTACCATGATAGAAAAGAAAGGAAGACATGGATATTAAGACTGAGAGAGCTCCAAGAGATTTCTTAAGGATAATTACTACCTAGCCTTACTATCCAAAATAGTTGTATATTAAGGCAAGAAATAGGAATGCACCTTATTTTAAAATGATTGCAGTATAATTCAAAATAAACCAGTACTTTTAGAAGCCCTCTGGCAGCCCATTCCTGGTGATTCAGGGTCATAAATTACCTTTATTGTCTGGTAAATCTATTTCTAACTTACACGTGCATACTAGGATTTCAGTTTCTCTGGTCCCTTTTCAGTGGCAAAATATAGTAACTGGGCTATGCGTTTGCTCCCAGGGTGCTTATGACATTTTCTTTAAGTCTGCTCCCTATTGAAAAATTCTAGTCCCGTTGCCTTTTCTGCAGCCTTTCCTTAATCCTCAGATTCTTCTCTGAACCTTCTCTGGGTCCTTTTTGCCTGTGGCCCTCACGCCTAAGCACCATTGTGGTAAGCACAGTAGATGCGAGACAGAGAATGCAGGCCGTCCCACTGCACATCACTGTATAATGTTCAGTGTCCAGTTGGTAGTTTACAGTAATCTCCTCCGAGTCATATGGCTTTTGAAGTCCATCAACTTACAAAAGCTTTTATCAGGATCATGTGTGCAGAAATTCAGAGCTTCCATTATGGTTAAAGGGGGATCCTAAAGGGTGTTATTTGATTTAATCTATTGTGGCGTTGGCAGGATGTGACCTCTCTGTGCCTCATGGTTCAAGGAGGTAATTACAGTACAGACGATGAGCTAGAAGCCCCTAATTGGCATGGGCTGTTCTCAGCATCCCAGGCCTGCAGTACCAGAAAGCCAGGCAGGCTGGAATAGGCCTGTGACGTGGCTAAGTGATTGCAGGGGTAACCTGAAGAGCCCGCTTCCTAATTGCATCATCTGATTCATTTATCGCAGTGCAGTATCTTGGTGCAGTGACAGGACGGCAGAAGTATCAGAGAGATCTCTAAGACTCAGTTAGCACGAGACTGCTCCAGAAGAAACATGATGCCTATTACATTAGAGTTGGATTCTGAGAGTAATTAAAGTGTGATGGTCTACATAACTTGTGTTTTATATAGAGCACTGTTAATTATATTTCTCTCTTTTGGGACTGTCCAGAATGAGTCCTGGAAATTCTATAGTTACCAAAATGTAACAAAAACAAAAGATAAAAGTGTGGTACAGGTTGTACAAAGTGAAATGACCTTCCCAAATGTTCTTTGGCCTCTCGGACTCACAGGTCTGATACTGTCCATTAAGACCATGAATAATGAGGGATTAGTCTCCTATTACCAGAGTTCCAAATGACTATGTATGTATTTAACATCTAAAATAAAAGAGAAGTTTTCAAAGCCTGTTCACTTTTGAGACTTCCCCTTTGGCTTCCCTGTGCTGAACTGGACTCAAGTCAGGCTGCCTGCCACAGTTGGTGGCTCCCAATTCAAGCGAGATATTAACCCTAGATTGTCATTTATTCTGCAGACTGAAACTTTTCAAAAGCAGATGGTCTTGTGTTTCCCTTGACAGCAAGGGCACAGGAAGACCATAATCCATAGCTTCAGACCTGACCTTAAAAACTGATGTCACCAACAGCAGTGAAAGCCACTTGTTAATTATGCAGCCTTCTTGGCATTGTTCACTTTCCCAAGGCTGGCCCCAAATTAGAAGGATGTTATGTTTTCCAGTTACAGTTCTGTTTGTGGAGCCCAGAAAGCTATTGTTTGGATTCCACATTGGAATGAAAAGTGCCTGCAGGGTGTCAGGGTGGTACTGTGCTTGGCTGGCAAGCTGCATGTCAGGGCCAGGAGGTACCCAGTTCCCATGCCCTCCCATTTGCTCCTTTGCCGGCAGAGCCCGCCTGCCGCTGGGTCCAGAGGAGCTAGCCTCACCTTCCCAGGCAGACTTGTCCCTGAAAGAAAAGGAGCAGAGGAGGCACCCAGGAGGCAGAGTTGTTTCTGTTTTTGTCTCACTCAGATTTGACATCAGAATATTCTTTGTGTTCTCTCCTACCTAAAAACCTTTATAGCTCAATGCAAAGGATTTCTTTATCTAATAAGAACTTAGGAATAAAAAGCATCTAGATACCTCAGTATCCTTTTTGATATGGGATAGGACATGTTTCCCACCCCCATTCTCCAGGTAGCAATTGCAGCATTTTAGAAAGAAAAAAGAAACTTCCGTTACACAAACTCCCAATGCACAACTCCTCCTTGGTAAAATATCGTATTGAAGAACTCACTCCATATCCAGGATGATGATAATCAGTTTTCTGTGCTTAAGCAGCTTTTCACTAACATGCTGGGGTTTTCTTTTCCTGCTTTTTCAGTCTTTTCAGCACTTCCTTCTGAGCACTTTAATGTTGTGCATGTAACTGAACAATAGCTGAAGTAGATAATTTAGTAGTGGTCCGTCAGTGCTGGCTGATGTGTGTGGCTAAAAGCTTCAAAGGTCTGCGTCTTGGGCTGGAGTTGCACTTTCCAGCATTAGCCTCAGGGGGGCACCAGATCCTCCAGCATCGGCTCTGTGGAGAGAGAGGCCCACACTGCAAGTTTCCTTGCCGTGGAATTGCAGTTGGAATTGCAGTTAGGGATGCAGACGTTGTGGCCAGAGATGAAGGGAGAAAGGAAGAACCCAAAAACAAAGCAGGGGTGGACCTAGGGGTCATTGCCACTCAGAGGCTGAGCTGTGAAGCAGCAGGGGAATGAGGAGCTTTTTTCTGGCCTAGGCTACCTCTGGCTAATTGGATAGAGGCCACTGGGTGAGGCCAGAAGGACTTCAGGCAGGGGTAGGGAATCGGGAAGCAGGTGCCGGGCACCCGTGTACCTCCCACTTCTGTGTCTGAACACGGAGGAGGACACGTGAATTTAAGACGCAGAAATACACTTGGTACTTGGTAAGTTCTTAAGCCCAGGAATGACAGATTTATCACTAATTAAACAGTAATTGCATTATGGAGCGTGGAAACAATTGTGTGTGTATAAACAACATCTGGTAAGGATTAAAAAGAAAGAATAATTTTTCCAAATTCAAATTTGTTAAAAGAAACCTGAATGTTTTAAAACAAAATAGATCTGAAAATGTAAAAGGGATAGAGTCTTATGTTTAGTATTTTGAAAGAAGAAGCAAGTGGCATAATAAAAAATACATATTTATAAAGATGCCTCATTGTACATGATAGATGTGAAGGTTTTGTATAAATAGGTTTTGTTTAAGCCAAACCATTTTTTCAGCTCAATAGTGGAGTTCACTGGTGAAATGACTTTATGGAGAATCTTCTTTTTAAGAAGAAAGTTGTTTTGTGGTGAATATGCACATATTAACAACAAGGGCTACCCACTGTGGAGAGAATAGTGGCTCAGAAACAGCTAAACAGTGGGACGGGATTGTCTGGCTGCTAGGTAACCCGAAGGGGAAGCTGCCCATCAGCTGATTCTTTAAATGACCCATTTCCTAGGTAAATATTTAAACTACATGAAAGTACATGAAAACGCCAGAAAAGAATCTGTTCCAGGCTTAATGAACTTCAGCTTCTTTCTCATCTGCTATTTCCTTCTTATTTTTATGGAGAATATAGCTATGATAGGTGATAGATGTAAAGTACTACCTGATAATTTTTTCTATTCATTCGTTTCCTATTTATTTTTTCTAAAAGGGATTCGCTTTTGTCTGTGAATTACCTTAAATCATAGTCTAATTTCCCTTTTTGGTTTGTTTTCTGTCGCGTGTGCGCTCTCTCTCTCTCTCTCTCTCTCTCTCTCACACACACACACACACACACACACACACACACACACACACAGCAAATGACAGAAGAAAAGAAATGCTTCTTCTTGAGAATTCTGTTCTGTGTCCTCAAGCCTCTTTCAAGTGGCAAGTGGCTTGTAATAATCATTGGTGAGTTGGTATGAAAATAACAGCTTACGTAAACATCAAGGGCCGAGCGTGAGATCCTGTGTAATTTGCACAGTTCATGGTGCAGAATAACAAGTTGGCCTCTCCCTTGCCTCTCCTCCAAAACAGGCACAGAGACCATGGTTATTGTGTATTGATTCCCTGCTGACTGTCTTCCCTTGTGTTTTGAGGGCTGAGGATGGGCTGTCTTTCTAGGTGGAGGGGGAGATAATGTGGTTCTGGGTAGCCGTGCAGGGAGATGAGAGGGAACGCTCTCACTAAACCAAGGGGAAGTATGCCCGGCAGAACAATCTGGTCTATACGAGAAGGAAAGCAGAACCCAGAGCTCTCCATCGTCACCCCTGTGGCATTCAGTGAAAAAACGGGGAGTTGGAGAAAAGGACAAGACACATGTTATTGAAGGCCTCCTGCCGACGTAGCTCCCTCGAGTCGAAGTGATCTGCCCGTGAAAATCATTAGGCCAGATGAAGAAGAGAGAGCTTGAGAAGGAACAGATTTTAGTACGATGGAGAAAAATAAACAGATGGAACCCCAAAAAGGTTTATTTTCTTTTCCCACTTTTACAGAAAAGATAATGGCCCCAGTCATGGGGCTCTAGAGCCCTGGGTTGCAGAGTGCCCTGTGGTATGTTACCGGAGTGCCCCACCTTACAAATAAGACAGGATTCACAGAAGCTAGATGTCTGCTTCATCACTCATGAGGATGCTGCAGAGATTTAGCGGGGGAAGGTATGGCTTCCAAAGAAGCACGTATTAAAACCTTAATTCTATTTGGAAGATTCTCTCAATAAGAAAAGCAGCTTAAAATTACTTCTGTGATTTGATGTCACTGGGACACATGCCTGACCTGTGCACACACCAGTCCTCACGAGGGGACTCACTGACCCTGAAATTATGTGCTCAGAAAGTATGAAGAATCTCATTTTAAAAGCCATTGGTGAGGGGTGCAGATGAGAAGGAGCTTTTCACAGCTGTAGGGTGGCAAGGAAGACCGGTTTTCAAATCAAAATCTCTGCCGTTGCTGTTTCTGCAGGTTCCCCTGCCTCCTGGCCTGTTACCTGTTAAAAGCTAAAATGGGTTGTGGAAGCAGGCTTAGAGTAGCCAAGGGTCTGAAATATTTGGAAAGAAAGAAATCTAAGAGGAGAGTCCATCTGTATGGGAAAGAACAAGCAGATTCTACAGCCAGCAGACATTTAAAACACTGGATTGAGCTATTTTGCTAGAAAACACTGCACAGAAGAAAAGTGTTTCCAAGCTCTCACCCTCTTCTGACAAACTGAGTTAGAGCTGTCTTCGTTGCTCCCCCAGTGGTTTTCATGTAACCCTACTCTACACATCTGATCGTTTTTGTTACTGTTTGGAGATCCCTATAATTATTCTCTACTAGCATCAAACCTATAGAATGGCTCTGGGATGGTTTTCCCATTTAGAAAAAAGAAATTCAATTTTACCATTTTCAAATTTACCTTATTTTCTATCAGTGCATTTCCATGCTCCTTTTTGTCTGTCTGCCTGTGGGCACGTAACAGTGCTATTTGATCTTAAACGCTCTTATTCAACAACGATGTTGTCATACAAAACTTTGAAAATTGCTCTGGCAAACTTAGTTCGATCACATTTCTTCAAGACATACAGTTTGCTTTTCTGTTGTTTTATTTTTTTCATTATGAATACGTGGAAACTTTTATATTTTCTGTGCTTATCCAGTGACTTCTTAATAACTGTTATTATTTACAGTGAGACTGGGCAGCAGGAGATTAACTGACATGCCTAAGTTCAAAGCCACGAAATAACGTCCCTCTCCTGCCTTGAACCATGGTCCTGCCAAATTATTTTATTGCAAAGATAATGAATTTGTCTGTAAGAATTTCAAGTTAGTTTATTTTAGATAAAAATGCACAACAGTGAAGGATGAGGGAGCATAATATTTAAAGAGTAGGACGTTGTAACTTGCAAATTGGAAATCTTGAAATAATTAAAAGGTGATTATCCTGTCCTGAACAAGTGGCAGAGCGGCAGTGCTGGCGAGTGGACACTAGATGGCGCGGGCTCTATGTCATCGGTGCCGCGCGGGGCGCGGGAGACCGCGGGGAGGCACGGGCTGCGTCAGTGTGGTCCAGGGCACCGATGCAGCAGAGCCCCTTTTACTCTCCTTGCTGTGGCGGGCCCATGAAAAGTGCTTCCCAAAGCTAGTCATGTCTAATGCAGAATGACTCCAATTTCCGATAGCGTCTGATCCACTAACATGTGAATAGTACAGTGAAGCAGGGGTCCGCTCCCTCAGGGCGCACAGTGGAGGGGAGCCCCTAGCCTTCCTGCCTGCACCCACCCCTGACAGAGCAGCAGCAGGCTTCGCTTCCCACCGAACTGGCGCCTCATAGCCTCCGATGATCTGAGGGGCAGCAGTGTTATCCCAAAACCATCTCCCCCTCCCCGTCTGTGGAAACATTGCCTTCCACGAAACCGGTCCCTGGTGCCAAAAAGGTTGCACACCCTGCTATAAAGGATCTGTTTTAGAATACAAATGGGCATTTTCATCTGGCATCAACTCATACTTTGAGCTCTGGCCAAAAAGATAGGGAACCTGGGACTGGGCCACTGAAGCTCCTCCCAGCTCCCAGGGCTACTGGAGGCCAGCTTCTGCAGACTCAGATAATCAGAACCCATCACCAGAATATTCAAGGAGAAATTAGATACCTTTTATTCTAATTCGTTAACCCTCTTTTCATCGTAAATAACTCAAGCTGTTAAATCCATAGTGCACTAAGATGCAATGTGATTTAGCACAGTGTGGTAGTGGTCACTGGTTTGCCAATAATTCTAAATTGTTATGTACTCATGACCTAATAAACAAGCTGCAGGCATTGGCCTGACCTCGAGGCACATCTAGCTATTTGAGGAGGTAACACACAGGCACATGACACGGGCCAGGCACGTTGCCTCATGCCTGTAATCCCAGCACTTTGGGAGGCCGAGGCAGGTAGATCACCTAAGGTCGGGAGTTTGAGACCAGCCTGACCAACATGGTGAAGCCCTGTCTCTATACAAAATATAAAAAAACTCTGCCTCAAAAAAAAAACACACACACACACACACACACACACACAGGCACACTTCAGTGGAATTGGCAGCACAGGCAGGCTCCACAGCATGCTGGCAGAAGGATGTTTTAAAGTTTCCATAATACTTACTGATTCTGTATTATGGATCACTTGAGCTTGTTATAGAAAAATGTGGAGCATATAGGAGTATACAGAGGAATAAACCATCTGTAACCTCTGCCCAGGGAGACCACCGTCTGCACTTGTATGTGGGACATTTTCAGTATAGCAGTGGTTCTTTTTTCTAACCAAGAGTAATATGCCAGTTTTCTGGCAATCAGCAGTTCCTGATAACACCTTTGGCTGGTAATAGCAAGTTACTGAGAAAGTTCCTGTGGTGATTTCACTTTCTCATGGTCTTCTTTTGCAGCCTCAAGCAGCCTGCCACCCTGCCATATTCCGGGTTGTTGATGAGATGTTCAGGTAAATGTTATGCTGTTTCTTCTAGTAATTGATGTAAAAAATGTTCCATTTCCAAACGTGAATCAGAAAATGTTGTAGGAGTCTCTGGCTGTACATCGGGGAAATTAGAGTTTCTAATTCCCTCTTATTCCTCAGAGCTTTTTGGTAATTAGAGGTAAAAACTCAAAAATCCGTGTAAATTTTAAGGCCAGTGACTAAGAATTAAGATAACTTTCTTTTCTTTAGCCTTTAAAGATTCTAATAATAGAAATGCAGAATTGAGTTGGATATTAATATCTTAAAATAATCATGTAGGATTTTTCTCAGCTCAGAATAAAGGGTAGCAATATACTCCCTTCACCACGTGAGGGCTGACCAATCTTTTTTTTAAAAGACTTTAAAACTAAGGAAAGCGAAGAAAATAAATAAATAAAGCCATTTTTAACAGAGCTCTTCTGAAAGGCAAAATACACCATGCATGTTCTCTTACAACACATTATATTTTTATTTTGAAAATACAAGTGCTTCTTGGGAAATGCATTAGATTTATAGACGACAAGAGACCAGGAGCTCACAACCATGAAGTTGAGCTGTGGCTGGCAGTCAGTGGGAGTTTTAACCATGGAGTACCAAGACTGGACCCCACTGGGGAGCTTGTCACCTGGGAGTGTCCTAGCCTCTCTCCCCAGGGAGCCCATATCAGCTCTCTCCACCCCCTTCCCAGAGGCTGCAGGGCAGACCTGCAGACTTTGGGGAAAGGAATTTTTACAGTAACAATAACTCACCACTTCTTGGCCTTGAAACAGAATACCTTTAAGCTAAATGGTAGAAATAAGTCAGAATACTATTTAGGACTTAAAGCTAGCAAAGTTTGAGGGTTTTTTTTTTTTTTCTTTAACAAACATAAAGAAAAATTAATTGTATGAAAATGCACAGAAACCAAGCAAGGCACACACTGACTCTTTCCTGACTTTGCTGGGTGGATGGACTAGACCATTTTATCCCTTTGAGCACCTTCATCTCTGCTTATGAAAGCAAAATGTTGATGTCGCATGTCCAGGCATACAGTACAAAAATATTTGTACAGAAAATGCAAGCAAGCCTGTGTGGAAGGGATTTGCATTGCTTAATAATTTAAGAATCAAGAAAGAGACCTCTGCACATTGCAATTTTAAAGAAAATATTTATAAAAGGGAGTAACAGATTTATCCTGCTTTCACGCAAGGACTGAAATCTGATGAGTTGAGATACTGCTGAAGCTTATGGCATAAAAAGAGTGTTTCCACTCTTCCCTTATACAGTGCAGGTTTATATGTTTGCTGATTACTCATTAAAACGTGTTCTGATCTGACTTTGCATTGTTCAGGTGTGCACTCCTGGAAACTGATGGGGCCCCAGAAGTCATAGCCACTATTCAAGTGTTTACACAGTGCTTTGTAGAAGCTCTGGAGAAAGAAAACAAGCAGGTTTGTTATATTGCATATATTACTCATTCATCCTAAAGAATAAGAGGCTGTTGAGAGTATTTTGGACAAGAGCACTTTATTTTCGGTAATTTTGTTGGACTGTTCTGCTCACAAAGAAAGGTTCCTAATGAGTGCCCCAACAAAGGTTAAACCATTTTAATTATAAATCAAGATCTGTCTGCCCCATGCCCTGGTACCCAGAAGCACCTGTCTACTGAGAACTCTGTCATGTCAGCATGCATGGCCCTGGAGGGTGGCTCATCTTGGCCCTGTGTGCAGAGCAGGACACTGCCCTCTGGCTGCATCTGAACCTCCCAGGTCAGCAGGAGGCACACCCTATGGTCTATATGGCATATGCTGCACAGGAAATAACACTTGTTAGAAAGCAGTCCTGGACATTCTTAATTATTAGCATCTTCATTCTTATCAGAGACCCAAATGTGAATTGGATTCCAGAAGAGAAAGGAGGTGGTAAGACTGGGAAAGACTTGACTAACTAGAGGACGAGTGCAGTGACCAGGTGGTGTGTATTAGGCACAGTCAGTAAACCAGAGCCCAGGCCTGAACCCTGCAGAAGGCTGTGCTCCAGGTCCCCAGCAGCAGAGGCTGGGCAACAGCTGCCAAGAGTTACTGACCAATTACAGTGACCTTGTGAAACAGGAGCTTTTGCTGCCAGAGAGCCTTCACCTTTTGGCATTTTATTTGGCCTTCATTTCTAATGCTACAGATTTAGTGTTTATGGGGCACATTGCCTGTCCAGAGTGGTGCTGGTACCATGCATCTCCTCTGTAGAGTATGTCACCATCCCTGTGAAGCTCTCTGCAGTTTGACTTACAAGAGCAGAGCTGTGATGCTTGACTCCATCAGATCACATCCCTCCCTCACAATGTCAAATAAATCTCTCAGGTTTTAGCTGATGTTTCTACTTTTTTTTTTTGAGACAGGGCTTCACTCTGTCACCCAAGCTGGAGTACAGTGGCGTGATCTCAGCTCACTGGAGTCTCAGCCTCCCAAGCTCAGGTGATCCTCACACCTTAGACTCCCTGAGTAGCCGGGACCTCAGATGCACGCCACCACACCTGGCTACTTTTTGTATTTTTTTTTAAAGTACAATTTCTGTTTTATTTTTCTCCAGAGAATAGTCTGTCTTCAGTCTTTAAGGACTCAGCTCCTTACATGGGCTTTGGTGCGGGTTGTGGGGAAGCACCCACAGGTCCAAAAAGGAGTGGGGGTGTTCGGTCCTTGTGGGCTTCACGAGATAGCTTCCTGTTTCTGCTTTTTAAGGCAACAATAAACGTATATTTATTTTATTTTATTTTATTTTATTTTTGAGTCAAGGTCTCACTCTGTCACCTAGGCCGGAGCGCAGTGGCATAATCATGGCTCACTGCAGCCTTTGACCTCCTGGGCTCAAGTGATCCTCCCACCTCAGCCTCCCAAGTAGTTGAGACCACAGGTGCAAGCCACCACTCCCAGCTAATTTTTAAATTTTTTTGTAGAGATGGAGTCTCCCTGTGTTGCCCAGGCTGATTTTGAACACCTGGGCTCAAGGGATCCTCCCACCTCGGCCTCCCAAGGTGCTTGGATTCCAGGTGTATGCCTGGCCAACAATAAATATTTGTGATTTATTTTTTCCCACCCTCACTTTCCCTGGAGAAGTTAGCTGGGCTGCTCTTTTCATGGTCCCACTTGCAAATTTGGAGGCGGCTTGGCTAGAAGGCATGGCAGGCCCTCAGGGTTATTTTGAGCCTGATATAATTGTCTTTGATTCTCCCTTGTGCATTCTTTGTAGTCCCCATTAGGAATTGGGCCTCTAGGGAGCTTTGCCTGTGGCCTCCCAGAGCACACCTGGGTTGAAGCAGAGGCCGCGCAGGAGTGCTGCTGTGCTCTTGAGGGTTAGCTCGTGCCTGTTTTTCTTCTTAGCTTCATACTCAGCCTCTGTGTTGGCTGTGGGCACTACAGATTTGGACTGATGTTGCAGTTGCTTTTAATTGAGAATAGTACCCTGGGCAGGCATACGTCTCTAGGGATGTGGGACCACACACTGGGTCCTGGTGTGAGGCTGGGCAGGGATCCAAAAACAAACAGGAATTCACCACCCTCACCTTCAGCTCAGAAAAGGAGAGCAAAGTCTCTGCTTTGCCAGTGCCTTTGTAGGCATCTGTTAGTTTGTTTCTCTTCCTAGAGCTGTTTCTGAGTGCCTGCCTTTTTAACTGATGGCCGTCTTCATCTGTTGACCCTCCGCCTTCTTGAGTGTCAATTTTTAGCTAATCAAAACCCTCCATGTCATATTTGGTAGATGCATGACCCTCTTTTCTCTCTGTGTTTTCCGTGTTTTGTTCATTCATACCTTCTTAATAAAATTAGTATCTCTAAACCCAACAAGACCTGGGCCACACGTGATAAGGACCTGTCTATCCATGTGCTCCTCCCTGCCTCTGTAGCCCTCCGGGTAACCTCTGGTTTGAATTTTATGTTTATTATTCCTTTGCTCTTTCTGAAGATAGTTTGATCACATATATATGACTGCCTAAACAATGCTTTGTTTAGTTTTGGTCGTTTTTGCACTTTATAAAACAAACAAAAGCAGTATGCCATGTGCAATATTTTGAGACTTCCTTTTCCACTCAGCAAAGATTCCTTGACGTTGCCGTACACGGCTGTGGGGAAGTATTGTTATGCATAGTCCATTGTGAAAACCTATGGCAGTATAGCCATCCTGCTGCTGGTAGGCACTTGGGATGTTCCCAGGGTTGGTTTTTTTATTACAAACGATGTTGCTCTGGACACTCTGGGTTAGATACTTAGGAGTGGAAGTGTTTGGGTATTCGATATGCAAAGGTTCAGCTTTCGTAGATCCTGCCAGACTCATTTCAAAAGTGTTGGTGTCCATTTGCATTCCCTGCAACAGTTTATGAGCGATCCCATTAATCTACATTTTCTCCCATCATCAGAAGCAGTCATATCAGTGCTTCTGTCTCTTCTTACCCTTTCCTCTCGCCCCTGTTCTGTTTGGAGGACACAGTCAGCTCCATCAATTCGCCCCATTAGACAGTAGGCAGAAATAGAGGTGCGTGTGACAAGCCACTTTTTCTAAGCCTGCACTGTGGCTCAGTACAGCCAGTCAGGTCCAGTTCTGGTTGCAGCCATGATAGCATCTGGTAATGAGCTAGATTAAATCTCCCACAGATAAAAATGTCAAACTGCAGGCAAAGTATTTTTTGAAATCTGTTTGAAGGCACTACAGAGCACCTGAAAAAGCAGATGGAAACTAGAGACCATCAGCCCTTTAAAGGGACAACACATTGAGAAGTCTCCTGCCTCTCCCAGCTGCCCTCATGTGAGATTGGGAAGGGGTGGGGGGCCCCTTGGCACAATCAGATTGACTTAAGGTGCCAACAAATGGAAAGGTAGGCTGCTAAAGGAACAAGAAAAATTGAGGGGACAAAAGAAAACCAATGTCAAAAGATAGACCTGAACGCAAAACTACCAACAATGACATTAATTTCAGCAATTAAATGGAAGTTAACTAAATATTCTAGTAAAAAGGCAGAAATGTCAGATTATACAAAAAGTGAAGACTCGGCTGGGCACAGCAGCTCATGCCTATGATCCCAGCACTTTGGGAGGCCAAGGTGGGAGGATTGCTTGAGTCCAGGAGTTCAAGACCAGCCTGGGCAACATAGTGAGACCCCCCCCATTTCTAAAAAAAAAAAAAAAAAATTAACTGGGTATGGTGATGCACACCTGTAGTCCCAGCTACTCGAGAGGATGAGGTGGGAGGTTTGCTTGAGCCCAGGAGGTGGAGGCTGCAGTGAGCCATGATTACACCACTGTACTCCAGCCTGGGTGACAGAGCAAGACCCTGTCTTTAAAAAAAAAAAATTTTTTTAAAGCTACTGTAATTAAGACAGTAAGGTATTGGCAAAAAGACAGCCATAGATCAGAATTGAATCCAGATATAGACCCATGCATATGTGGTCAATTGATTTTTGACAGAGACGCCAAGAGAATTTAATGGGAAAAGGAAAGTTTTCAACAAATGATGCTGGAATAACTGGATGTCCATAAGTAGAAAAATGAACCTCAACCATTACCTTGTAAAGCACACAAAAATTAATTTGAGAGGATCATGGGCTTCAACATAAATGTTAGAACAATAAAGCCCCTAGAAAGAGTGTAGGAGAATATATCTGTTTGACATTGGGGTAATCTAAGATTTCTCAGAAGCACTAACCCTATGTGAAAAATGGATAAATTAGACTTCATCAGAATTTAAAACTTCTAGGCTGGGGGTATAGCTCATGCCTGCTTATAAGCTATGCCCCCATGATTAATGCCGTAATCATGGCTAAATAGATTATGGTATAGTCATACAATTCAGACTACTTCTGAGCATTAAAAACAGAATGAACTACTTATACATGCCATAATCTGTTTAGCCATGATGGGCATTAATCATGGGGCATTAATGGGCACATTTAGCATGTTGGGAGCCCAAGGCAGGATCTCTTGAGCCCAGGAGATAGATACCAGCCTGGGCAACTAAGTAAGACCCCTTTTCTACAAAAAAATACAAAATTTCACTGAATGTGGTGGCACACACCTGTTGCCCTAGCTACTCGGGAGGCTGAGGTGGGAGGATCACTTGAGCCTGGGAGATCAAGGCTGCAATGAGCTGTGATCATGCCACTGCACTCCAGCTTGGGCAACACAGTGAAACCCTATCTCAAAAAATAAGAAAGAATTTAAAATTTATATTCTTTGATAGATATCATTAAGGAACTGAAATAGCAAGCCATCAGCTAGAAGAAAATATTTGTAATACATGTATTCGACAGAGGATATGTGTCCAGAACATATGAAGATCTCATACAACTCCCTAAGAAACAAACCAGTTTTTAAAATGGACAAAAGACTTGAATATATACTTTCAAAAAAGAAATATAAGCTGGCAGTAAGCACATGGAAATTGTTCAGCGTCATATGCCATCAGGAAAGTGTGGGGCAAAACAGTTAGGAAAGCAAGTATTCATAGGGTAATGTTCCCCAGCCACTAGAATGGATGAAATTGGTAAGACTGACAGCACCAAATGCTGGGGAGCACGTGGAGCAACTGGAATGCACATACATTGCTGGAGGGAGGGAGGGAGTGAGATGGTACAACACTGGAAAACCATATGGCCCTAGAATGTCAAACAAGCATCTATTCTGTGACCCAGCAATTCCATTCTGATGGTGTGCACCCAGAAGAAACAGAAACACATGTCCACAAAAAGACATACATATGCATGTTAGCTGCAGCTTTATTCATGACAGCCCAAACTGAAAACAGCCCAAATGCACATCAAGAGGGGAATGGCCAAACAGATTATGGCATATTCATACAATTCAGACTACTTCTGAGCAATAAAAACAGAATGAACTACTCATACACAGTAACATGGCTTTAAAAAAGCATGTTGAGCCCAAGAAGCCAGACACAAAAGAAAACATACTTTATGTTCCCTTTACACGAAAGTCAAGAATAAGCAAAACTAATCTCTCTTATCAAAATCAAAACATTGGTTGCCAGGGTTGGGTGGAGGGAATGATGGTTAAGTGTTGGAAGGGAACTTTTCGAGGTGATAGAAATGTGCCTTCACTGGGGTGGTGGTCACATGGATTTGCACATTTACCAAACCTCATGTATTTAAAGTCCATGTACTCCATACTTGATAGATTTTATCTCAATTTTTAAAAAAGCTTCTGTGCCTCTTGGGGCAGAGGTAGCTATAGTTCTTCGGCTCTTGAAATGTGAGCACAGTTGTTTTATGCTTTTGTTGTTATTTTAAAAGCCATGTTGAGCTGGGTGCAGTGGCTCATGCCTATAATCCCAGCACTTAGGGAGACTGAGGCCGGCAGATCACTTGAGGTGAGGAGCTCAAGGTCAGCCTGGCCAACATGGTGAAACCCCATCTCTACTAAAACTACAAAAATTAGGCTGGCATGGTGGCACACACCTATAATCCCAGCTACTTGGGAGGCTAAGGCAGGAGAACACTTGACCCGGGAGATGGAGGATGTAGTGAGCCAAGATTGTGCCACTGAGCTCCAGCCTGGGCAACAGAACGAGACCTCATCTCAATAAAAACAACAAAAACGAAATGCAGAATACCTGACACCTCACAACTGCTTTGGCAACTCTTACTGAAAATAGAGGATTTGTATAATTGAGTTCATGTGAGGTAGAACTCATAAAGACATCAAGAGCATAACTTTATTATTTTTTCTTAAGTCCCAGAAGGAGATTTTAAAAGGTTAATTATTCTGGAAAATATGAAGTTGTTGGGAGCTTATTTTTCAAAAAATAAATGTTTAAGAAAATATCCTGACCATGTTGGTACTGGTGGGTCTTTTTTGGGCAGAGGGACTCAGAGTTTTGTATTTTCCTAACCCCCTTTTAATCCTAATGTTCATGTTCTTTGGACTTTCCATCCTGTGGCAGCTGCGGTTTGCACTCAAGACCTACTTTCCGTACACTTCTCCATCTCTTGCCACGGTGCTGCTACAAGGCCCTCAAGGTGAGTTAGGGTTGACTTGGCCCACATCAAAATGATTTCCTGGGAAGAGCACTGTCAAACCATGACCTCCCCACCAGGCCCTTGTCTATAGCATGAGGGAGGATTGGTTATTTCTAAGATCCCTTTAAGCCCCCAGGATCCCACATTCCGTGGATTTTGATATGAGAGTCTGCTTGGCTTCCCAGTTGTGATCGCTTACCAAAAGAAGAAAAAGAAAAAACAAAACAAAACAAAAAACCAGTGGTCTCTGGCAGGTTTTGCTAGTCTGTGTCCAGACAACACAGGCTCTGCTGGTGCTAACCACATCCGCCAGATGCCAGGAACAGGCTAAGACTTGGCTGAGTCAGAATAAAACAGTACATTCATTTGCTTTTCATTCTTTCTACTCTGTGCAGCCTTGTTGCAGAAGAAAAGATAAAATGATGGATGAAGCTGAGGAAATGCAGGGGAAGTTTACCTTAACTAAGCTAAGGGAAGGATTTTGAGAGAGTTCAGCAACATGCTTCACCCACAGCTTTTCCTGATATCCTTTGCCAGCCTTCCAAAGGCTGTCCAGCTGGGGAAGTGACGGTTCCAGCCTTCATTTGACTGGTGTTGATCCAGGAATGTGGCTGTTAGCTCGTGCTTAGGAGACATTTCAGAAATAGAGAATAAGGGCATCCTTTTTCTCTGAGGCCTGAAACCTGAAGGAAGGCAGCCCTAACATGGGCACAGACTGTGCTAGCCAGAAAGGTGTCTTATCAGTGCATGGGAGGAGAGGGAAGGGAACAAGCTAGTCACATTTCCCTTTCTTTGTTTTTGAGACGGAGTCTTGCTCTGTTGCCTGGACTAGAGTGCAGTGGCATGATCTTGGTTGACTGCAACCTCTGCCTCCTGGGTTCAAGCAGTTCTCCTGCTTTAGCCTCCCGAGTAGCTGGGATTATAGGCACTTGCCACTGCACCTGGCTAATTTTTGTATTTTTAGTAGAGACAGGGTTTCACCATCTTGGCCAGGCTGGTCTCAAATTCTGACCTCGTGATCCACCCACCTCTGTCTTCCAAAGTGCTGGGATTACAAGTGTGAGCCACTGTGCCCAGCCAGGCCTGCTTTTTTTCTGAGACTTGAGTGAGTAGATTTGCTTGAGAAATGCAGTTGATTCAAAGTTTCACAGCATTTTACAAAACCTAAATTCCTCTTCCTTTCTCTAGAAGATATAAGTTCTCGCCTAGGGTGACCCTCTGACATTGTCCTCTCAGATGCTGGAGCTGGGAGTGGGATCTCTGGGTGACACTTTTATAAAAACCTTTGGGAACACAATGGGAAACTTTATTAACAAGACAGAAAAATGAGGAATTCACTCTCCCAGGTCAGCTTAGGTCAGATCAGCAAAGCCTAAAGCCAGCCCACAGTGGACACGGAGTGAGCTTCAGAAAATGGACTGGAGGTGTTAGTGTCTCAGTTTGGAAACAGTAAGCAAACGCCGAGGTGGTGCGTGGACACGGGCTCAGACCCCACCTATCCATTTGTGTAATCGTTTATGCCCAAATACAAATAGGTGGCTTCAAGCAGAAGTACAAGAGCCTTTTGTGCCAGTCCCTAGAAGAGCTGTCTGTATGTTACTTTTGGAAACAGTGAGTGTTATGGTCACAAACTGAAGAAGTGTTTTTTAGTAGCATAACCTTCTATTTATCAGAAATTTATTTCCTACCCGTTGTGAAGGCCAGGGGAGGGGACATAAAAGTTGATCACTTAAAAGCCCTAACCATCTAGGAACTACAAGTGGAGGAAAAGCAAAACAGATATCTAAATAACTAGTAAAAGGAAGAAATGAAAAATGCCTTCAAAAGGCTGTGCTCTAAGGGCTGTGGGAGCTCAGAGGAGAGAGGGCTGGCCTTGTGGAGGAGCGGCAGTTCATCCATCACTGGCCTTATCTTCCTTGTGTGTTCGATCACAGCACCTATCACTGTGTGAAAACTTTCGCAGATGCTGTGTAGAACTGCAGATATGTGCTCCTCAGATGTGTTGAAAACCACGGGATGATTGTGAAACCAGAGTAATTCACTCAAGAAAAGACATTTGTTTGCAATAATGCTCAGTTATTTTTTTTTCCTGGCCTTTTTTTCCCACTACTTGAAAGCATATTCTGAATTCATCATAGCCTAGGAAAACAGTCAGGCAGTCTATTCCTAATTCCTTGTTGGCTGCTTTATTACAGTCTCCATCTATTTTGAAATCACACATTAGTGATAGAGGAGCAGGTAGGTAGGAAAGAAGAAACCTGGGGCATCTGCAACATGGCATTTCTCAGCCTCGGGTGGGCTGCTTATGCAGACTCTAGCTACTTCCATATACCTGAATTAAAAATTACTTGAGGCCAAGTGGGGAGGATCACTTGAGCCTAGGAATTTGAGACAAGTCTGAGTAACATAGTGAAATCTCATCTCTACAAAAAATTAAATAGCTGGGCATGATGGCATACCCCTGTAGTCCCAGCCACTGGGGAGGCTGAGGTAGGAGGATTGCTTGAGCCCAGGGAGTTGGGGCTGCAGTGAGCCAGGATCGTGCTACTGCACTCCAGCCTCTGGCAGAGCAAGAACATGTCTTAAAAAAAAAAAAAAAAAAACCCACTAAATAAGATGATTAGATTATTTGAGGTTCAGCTCTGTGTAACATGGACAGATCTTACTTTTCCCGGGCTTACGAGATAGACACTAGCTGGGAAGAGCATGAGAACAGTGTTGGGTTCCCTGACTTTTTCTCACTTGCCCTCTGACGTGTCTCTTTCCACCTGCAGATATCCCTCAGGGACAGTGGCTCCAGACATTGAAGCACATTTCTGAACTGCTCAGAAAAGCAGTTGAAGACCAGACTCATGGGTAAGCAAATACCACACCCAAATCTACTTCATACACGGTTTCCCTAGATCCTCGTCTGCCATTTTAGCAGGGCTGACAGAGGAAGGAATTACTGGTCTGGGACAAACAGGTGAGCACTATGGCAAAGTGAGGAGTGAAGGAAGTGCATGGCTGCACGGATGGTTTGGAGCAGGTCAGGATGAATAGGCATGCACCTGTATGCGTGTGTCAATACCTGTATCGAAACGTTTCTATGTAATGTCTGGTTTTGTTTGAAATACACAGGCATAACAAAAAAAGAAGGGACCTTAGAAAAAGCAGTGCCCACCTGCTGGAAGCCCCTGGCCATGCAGAAGGAAAAGGGCACTTGTTTGGGTCCTTTGGTCTTCTCTCTACCTCTCTAGGGAAGGCAATTTGAAACTTCTACACAGTAGGGTGGAATGTTAAATGCTTATTTTTCCTTCTCTCTAATAAATGTCTCTAAAAATAAGAAAATCTATTCTAAATAAATTCTTTTTTTTTTTTTTTTTAATTTTTAGAGATAAGGTCTTGCTCTGTCGCTCAGGCTGGAGTGCAGTGGAATGATCACATCTCACTGCAGCCTCAAATTTCTGGGCTTAGGTGATCCTCAACTCACACTCCTGAGTAGCTGGGGCTACAGGTGTGTACCACCACACCTAGTTAAATTTTTTTGTAGAGGTCTTGCTATATTGCCTCAAACTCTCAAGCTCAAGTAATCCCCCTGCCTTGGCCTCCCATCGTGCTGGGATTACAGGTGTGGCCGCTGTGCCAGCCTGTTAATTTCTAACAGTATTGTTAGGTACTGTCTTATGTGTGTGACTTTCCTGAAAGCATTCACATTTAGGCTTGGCTAAATTCCTTATATCATAACATTCTTTGGCGTACTCTTAAGTCCTTTTCTTTTAGAGTATAAATAATTTTATTCATTGTCTCTGCTAAGCCTACTAAGACTATCTTATCTGTTCCTTTTGCCACTTTTCGCTCTTGACATTCTCTGTAATCTCACACCGAGCCAACACAGATGATGGGTGACGTGCCTATGTCCTGCTCCGTGATTGATGGTTTGGGTGCAGGATGCTCACTTCTTCCCCACCACGATTCTTACCAATGGAGAGCATACAGAAAAGACCTGCAGCCAGTGGGGGCCCAGGGTTGGCCACGTGAATAGCCTGCAATGGCCGGTCAGCCCCCTACGCACCCTCCCTGGTTGTCCTGGCGTTACAGAGCTGAACCTCAAAGAATCTTAACTCAGGGACATGGAAGTAGATGGAGGTGGTGTAAATAGCTAACCCTGTGATTGAGAAATGCTGTGCTGCAGGTGCTCTGAATGTTTTTCTCTTCTACCTACCCACCGTCTCTGCCATACTCATAATGTGTGATGTCAAAATGCATGGAGACTGTAATAATAAACAGCAACCAGAAAGGGTGCATGTGGCACTGTGGAGCAGGACTTAGGCCTCGTGGGGCTCCCACCTCAACCCAGACCTTGGGGTCAGGAGTCACCTTTCAGGTGGCCATGTGGGACTGCCTTGTGCCTTCAGCTACTGATGGAGGAGAGGGAAGGACCAGGCTGGTCTCTGATCCTGATCTGGGCACACTGCCAACCTGAGAGCAGGGAACATGAGGGGGCCCCGCTGCTCTGTGCGTCTCTGTACCCCGACATGGTGCCTGCAGGGAAGAGGCATGGCGGAGTCCCCTCCTCACTCTGATACAGCCTAACCTAGCCTACTGCCAATGTGGCTGCCGGAGCATGCCTGGGGAAGAGGGAGTAAGACCAGTACTCTACCCTCCTGTCTTTTCCTCTCTGTTGCCCAATTGTAGAACATTTAACCACTTGTTCTCAGGGAGGACTGGAGCAGGAGGACAGCAGTGACCAGGGAGGCGAGGACAGTGCTTAGAGCGTGGGAATTCCATGGGCCAGGCGGAGGAACATGGAGCTGGATCCAACAAAGGTGATGCAGAGGGGCCAGGAACACTCCTGTTCCACCCGCTGCCCCAGAAGGAAAGTTTGCATCTAATGTGATCTCAGCTGGTCTGTTCCGTTCTCTCCAAGGGAGACGTTAACCTGCTGAAACTGGTACTGCATACAATTAGTGGGTCCTCATTTGGAGCAAATTTTGCCCTTAAACAAGTATTGCAACTCCCATTTGCCAGTATGGCCAGGGGATAGCTTCGCAAAGGCTTTAACTTTCTGGCATTGACGCACATGTGATGACAGCAGCTTGCTAAAAATTCGTAGTTGCAGCTGGGCTCATGTCTGTAATCCCTGCACTTTGGAGGCCGAGGCAGGCAGATCATGAGGTCAGGAGTTCGAGACCAGCCTGGCCAATATGGCGAAACCCTGTTTCTACTAAAAATACAAAAATTAGCTGGGCATGGTGGTGCGCCCTGTATTCTCAGCTACTCAGGAGGCTGAGGCAGAAGAATCGCTTGGACCTGGGAGGAGGAGGTTGCAGTGAGCCAAGACAGTGCCACTGCACTCCAGCCTGGGTGACAGAGTAAGACTCTGTCCCCCTCCCCAAAAAAGAAATTCATAGTTGCAGAAACATCCACCTGAACCTTGTGTCTTGAAGGAAGCAGCGCGTGTTTCTGCCTGCGTCCCACCTTCCACCCCTGTCTCTGTGTCACAGAAGGCAGGGAGATGTGCCGCCACATCCTGCGACATTCCTGCTGGTCACGGCCGCAATCTTGCTTCCTCAGTGCCTGTCCTCACTGAAGGTACCTGGATTAAAGACTGATGTCTGAAGGCCTCAGGCCTCACTGGTGCCCTGAGAGGCACTCTTTTGATGTCCTGTGATGGTGCAGAGTGGCATTCAGCCCAGTTTTCCGAGTTTAACTTGTATTCCTTGCAGGTTGCTCTTCAGTGGATAAGTACAATTTAAACCAACCGTTGGCAAGCATTAAAGTTGCTTTAAAAACCCAAAGGAGGAAAAATTCAGGTTGCTGGCTGCCATGTGTTCTGGCTCTGTTCTAGGTCCTGCAGAGGTCCCTTCAAGAGCTGGTTCCTGTTCATTCACTTTGGAGGATGGGCTGAGATGGCAGCCGAGCAGTTACTGATGTCGGCAGCTGAACCCCCCACGGCCCTGCTGTGGCTCTTGGCCTTCTACTATGGACCTTGTGATGGGAGGCAGCAGAGAACACAGACCATGGTGGGTAGCAAGCCCCACTACATGTGTTTGGGGTGGGCTCTGGGGGCTGAGGGGAACCTGCAGAGAGGGGCTCTGTTGCGGGCTTGGCTTTCGTGACACCTGAGCGCTGCCCACAGATGGCAGATGTTGTGGCAACCTGCAGGCGTGGTGACCTCCAGCCTTATGGTCAGAGACGCTCTCCTTCCCCCTTTCCTCTGCTCCCCGTGGCCAAAGACAAGAGACTGCCAGCACGTTCTCCTGGAAAACACCCTTCCTTCCGGAGGTCATTTGATCTGTTGTTGCTTAGCTGCCACATCTGCCCTGGGGTCTTGTCCTCCAGGGTGTGCCATGCAGAGGGTGCTGTTCTGAGGGGTGTGCCCACAGCAGAGCCTGGCCATAGCCAGTGCCCTGTCTTGCTCCCCAGCAGCCCAGCTGGGGCTGCTTCCATCTTGACTGTGTCTGCTTTCTTGGATCAGTCAACAGATCGTTACATTACTGGCTTTGTTTACATCTCTTCCTAAAGTAATCACATGATATTAACCACTTTGCTTCTGAAAAAGGACTTGGTCATTTCCTAAATAACAGAGCAGCTAAGTATGGGACTGGATAACTGTCTGTGGCAAAAACAGTTGTTATTTTATGTGGAATATAATAATTACAGGAAGCAGTGCTTTGATTAAAGGCATTGGCACCTCCCTTGCAAGCATTTATTTGCTAGGCTCTTGAAACTTCAACTGCCGGTGCTCTCTGCTGAATTTAGTAGTTAAAGAGGACAATGCTCATTTCGTATGGAGCACTGCTCTTCTTGGCTTTGTATTTTCCGTTGTTTGAAAACACAGGGCCAGTAAAGATGTCTGTGCATTTTATTTGCTTTGTTTTGTTTTGTTTTTTGAATTGGAGTCTCACACTGTTGCCCAGGCTATAGTGCAGTGGCGCAATCTCAGCTCACTGTAATCTCCGCCTCCTGGGTTCAAGCAATTCTCCTGCCTCAGCCTCCCAAGTAGCTGGGACTACAGGGGTTGGCCGCCACGCCCAGCTAATTGTTTTATATTTTTAATAGAGACAGAGTTTCACCGTGTTGGCCCAGATAGTCTTGATCTCCTGACCTTATTATCCGCCCGCCTCAGCCTCCCAAAGTGCTGGGGTTACAGGCATGAGCCACCATACCCAGCTGCATTTTATTTGTTTAAAGGCTTGCATGGCATAGGAAAGAAAAATATTTTTAGATTTTAAATGTTGAAATTTGTTAATAATTTATTTTAGTTCAGAAATAAAGCTTTGTGAGGAAATTATCAAACCCACATACAGTATGTATTTGAGTAGTGCTGTCTGATTAAAAAGAAAGCTTATTTCTTCCCTTTTAGAAGATCACATTAAACTAATTAAGGAAAATCCTGGTTGGTGTTTTTAATAGTAATAAGATGTATGGAGTACTCATGGTTTCAAAAGTCCTTTTATATTCTGTCTTACTTGATTCTGTATAAGCTAAGTTGGTAGATAATATGCTCAATTCTGTCACCGTAATGGGTACTGACAGAGAGGCACTTTTGAAATATAAAGAAATAGGCCGGGAGCAGTGGCTCACGCCTGTAATCCCAGCACTTTGGGAGGCTGAGGTGGGTGGATCATAAGGTCAAAAGACCGAGACCATCCTAACACTGTGAAACCCAGTCTCTACTAAAAATACGAAAAATTAGGCGGGTGTGGCGGTGGTGGGCACCTGTAGTCCCAGCTACTCAGGAGGTTCAGTCAGGAGAATCGCTTGAACCTGGGAGGCAGAGGTTGCAATGAGCTGAGATTGCACCACTGCACTCCAGCCTGGACGACAGAGCGAGACTCCATCTCGGGGAAAAAAAAAGGAAATTATCCAGTAACACTTAACTTCTAGAACGTTCTACATTGGCACATCTTCTACTAGCTAACTTAGTTCTTTTTTGAAGAAAAAATAACAAAGCCTTTGCAGAGTTCTCCCTCAGGGGATGCCTAGGATTTTGGATGAGAATGGATTGGCTCACTGTGAGTGGGGTGGTGGCCGGTGTCTGTTTCCCTCCCTGCCTTTCTGTCACAGGTGCCCATCTGCCTGGCGGTTCAGTCCAGTGCCCCTGTTGGTGACTCCAGAGCCTTTCCTCGCTGGTGGCTGCCTGAGGCATTGGTGTATGTGGTGTCCTGGGAAGGGGGTTTTAGTTGAATGAATGATACATACCTCTTGTTTTCCTGGGTTTTGTGAGCTTTAATCCCTTGGTGGTCTGTTGGGGGGCTTGAGAGACAAATGGTGAAGCATGATTCTGATGAGACTGGATTGAGATTAGCAGGATCTGTGCATTTGCCTTACTTAAAAAGGCATGACTAAATCAGTTGGTTGCGTATCCCCGCATCATGTGTTGGGGCTGGTGTCGCTGCCTCTGTGGCTGTCTTTGAGGTGAAGAGCATGGGTGCAGACAGCAAGCCTATCCTCGCCCGGGATGTGTCCTGCCCATGAGAAGGCCTGTCCCACTCACGGGCAAGCCATGTTCTCTACTAGCCAGAGTTCATCTCCTTTTGCCAACTAAATAGGATCACAACAAAATGAACAAACAAGTCTGTTTAGATACCCTTAAGAATCAGGCAAGGTACAATGATGACTAGAGAAAACAAGGAAAAATAAAAAAAGAATCAGGGAAGGGTTCATACCTTTAACCCTGTCGTTCCATTTCTAGGAATTACCCTAGAGTAATTCTTTATTTGATCCATGCAAAGGCATATATACAAGATTATTCAGTACAGCATTGTTCATAAATACAACAATGGGAAATGGCCTAAACTTTCAACAGTAAGGCTACTGGCCAAATAAATGGTGGTATATCCTAACCATGGAATAGTATTCTATTATACACCATGAAGAATCATGCTCTTGGCCAGGCGCAGTGGCTCATGCCTGTAATCCCAGCACTTTGGGAGGCCAAGGTGGCTGGATCACCTGAATCCATGAGTTTGAGACCAGCCTGGGCAACAAGAATACCTCTCTCTCAAAAAAAAAAAAAAAAAAGAATTATGTTTTTGAAGAACATGTTTTATAGAAAATGAACTGGTTATAGTACATTGTGGAGCGAAAATGAAAGATACAAAGCATTATGTGTAGTGAGTGGTATGGTCTCAATGCATAGAAAAAACACAAGAAGTATATAAACTGAATTATTAACAGTGCATCTTTTTGGATGGTAGAGTTATAGATCATTTTAATGGTTTTTTGTTTTCTCTTTTCAAGTTTTCCATAGTAAACATATATGTTTTTATGATGGAAGATAAAAAATACTTTAAAAAGAAAAGAAAGCTTATATCTTTCTCCTGAAAAACTTAGGAAGCGTTTAAAGTTACTGGTGTTCAAGTGGAAGCCTACGGGCATGGACAGCATCTGAAGGGAAAGACAGTCTGGGACAAACAGAAAGGAAGAAGGCCCCGTCTTAGGGATTATTGGACAAGGGCAGAAAGGCAATTGTGGGTCAAGAGAAAAAATGTATATAAAGGCATAGCCTCCTAAACCCCGACATTTTTGCAGACCTAGTTAGATGGCAGAATGGCCTTGAGCTCCTGTAGACACCATCATACCATGGCAGGCTTGGCCCGGCTGAGGGGCGAGGTGGGGAGAGCACAGCCTGGCCTGCTGGAACGCTGTCGCTCCCCGTGGAAGAGCCTGATGGTGCAGTTTCTCACGGTCTCGTATTGTGGGCAGAGGAGCTCACACAACATGCCCAGTGTACTGGAGCTTATGACAGACTTCATTGAATGAGGCCTTGACTTCCAGGGAAAGAAACGCCTCACACAAAATCCATAAAATCAGTCATGGGAATTCTCAGAATAGGCCTAAGTCTTCTTTCAGAAATGATGGAACATAGCTGTTCATGAGTTCCATGTGGCATTTGGATCTATGGGCTTTCAGTTTTGCTTTGTTTTCCAAGTCACGACTGGGTGTACCATTCTTGTAGCAAGCAGAAGCATCTCAGCATGGAATAAATATTTTTTATGTAAAAACCCGCAGATTCACAGTTACCATTATCCTGTGGATTCCACAGACTTGTGACCTGTGCTTGAGCATTAAACATGTACAGCATCTAAAACAAATGTGTTGTTCTTGTGTGTGCATGTATGCGTGTATGACCGTGCATGTGTGTACGTGCGTGCTCGTGTGTGTTCCCCCCATCCCCCCACCCCTACCCCAAATACAGCAGGAAGCAAAGGCAAGCCCGCATTTGTATGGGAACATTGGCTCAGCGGAGGTCCGGCTCTGTGGGGCTTTAATTGATTTGTGGCTGTGATAGTGAGGCGAGTCTGCAAAGGAGCCTTTTGTTCTTTTTCCCCACAGTGTAAAAATCTGACTACATTCTGTTGAGGACTTTTCTGTGTTTCTTTTTATACAAAAAAGAGGTCAATTCTTGTCATGGTGCCCTGGCTGCTTGGTGAGCAAGATGAAAGAAAGTCAAACAGTTTCCATTCCGCCTGTTTGGGTTTGTGTGGAGTAGAGTGTACACTCCGCCGCTGACTAGCTCCCTCTCTCAGGGCGGGTCCTCACCCCTTTTGGGGGATCACTTCAAAGCAAATAAATAAATCCTAGAATCATGTCTGTCCTGCCTCTTCTTAACCTCTCCCCTGTCAAATGCTATTGCCTAGGTCCAGGTAAAGGCTGTGCTGGGCCACCTCCTGGCAATGTCCAGAAGCACCACCCTCTCTGCCCAGGACCTCCAGACGGCAGCGAGACAGGGCACAGACACAGACCCCAGAGCTCCTGCACAACAGCTGATCAGGCACCTTCTCCTCAACTTCCTGCTCTGGGCTCCCGGAGGCCACATGATTGCCCGGGATGCCATAACCCTGGTAAGTCTCCCTGTGGTCCAGCGTCCTAGTTGTCATTTCTGCTCCAGGTGAGAGGTGGATTACCTGCCTGAGGGTCTGGCCTCTGCAGAGTGTGTGTACCAGGACGTTACCCAGCACGGATAAATGATCAGGGAGGCTGACAGCTGGGATGGACCCCAGAGCCTGCCCCCTGCAGCACCTTTATGTCACAGAGGAAGAAACAGAGGCTCAGAGGAAGGAGATGCCATCTCCTGGGCCCATGACTTGCTGCCAGAGCCCGCAGTAGAAGCCAGGTCTCCTGTTCCCCTACGTCCATTTCTTTCCATTGCAGTGTGCTGCTCTCTTCTTCCTCACAGAAAGACAGAAGGCCACAATGAGAAAGCGCTCACAAAGTATCTACAATGCTACTCACTGCACCAGTGCAAAGAATTTTGTTAATTTTTTAAAAATTGGTTTATTACAAAGAAATCCTTCATGAAGCCCACTTCACTTGAGAGGTAAAGAATGGTCCAAGTCAAAAGTGAGCACTCTTCGTGACATTAGGTTTGGCAATGATTTCTTAGATATGATACCAAAGACACAGCAATGAAAGAAAAGAATAGTTAAATTGGACTTTATGAAAATTAAAAGCTTTTGTGCATCAAAGGATACCATCAAGAAAGTGAAAACAATTCACAGAATGGGAGAATATATTTAGAATTAATGTATGTGGTTAGAGTTTAATATTCAGAATACATAATTCTTATAATTCAACAACAAAAAGATAACCCAATTCAAAAATGAATAGACATTTCTCCAAAGAAGATGTACAAATGGCCAATAGACACGTGGAAAATGCTCACAGAAAGGACGTGAGAGGCCAGGGAAAGGCAAAGCACAGCCGTGTGCACTGCACGGCCATCAGGATGGCTCTCAGCAGTAGAGGAAAGAAACGCCCGTGAAGACACGCAGGAACCGAGTGGGGACGCTAACATCACGCCACTACTGTGGAGAAGAGTGGCGTGATTCCTCAAACAGCCAAACCCAGAATTACTGCGTGGCTGGCGGTACCTAGGTCTGTACCCACGAGAGCCAAAAGCAGGGGCTGGACAGCCATCTGGCCCCGTGCTCAGGGCAGCACCATTCGCAGAGCCAGCAGGCAGAGGCGGCCCAAATGCCTGTAGAGGAATGAGCGGTGCACAGCATGATCTGTGCCCATGATAGAGTGTTGTTCAGCCTGAAGATGGAAGGAAGTTCAGACAGTGCTGTAACAGGATGACCCTTGAAGACACTGTGCTTCGTGAAATAAGCCAGACACAAGCACATTGTATGAGTCCGCTTAGATGAGGCACCTGGAATACAAGTCCAGGGAGAGGAAGTAAAACAGAGTTTCCCAGAGGCAGGGGTTGGGGAGTCGGTGTTGGGATGATGGGAAGGGGCAGGAGATGCACGGTGCCGATGGTTGTGCAGTACTGTGAAATACTGCATGCTACCGAATCGCAAAAATGGTTACAACAGCACATTTTATGTAAATTTCACCACAGTTTTGAAAAATACTCGGAACAAGTGAGCACCAGCATGCTGACTCGGGGAGTTTTGTCACATTTTTTGTTTTATTTGTACTTTTTTTGACATATAATAGACATACAGAAAATATACAGCTTGATGAATTTCACAAACCAACAACACCTGTGCAGCCAGCAATCAACTCAAGAGAGGAGTATTCCCTCCTGCTCCTGTCCAGGCCGGGCCCGGCTGGAATGTGTGTTCATGTGCAGAAAGTCCCCATAACAAATGACACTCTTGACAGCCAGGGCCAGGAGGTTGTCTCCATCCTGGTGGGACAGTCCTGTGGAGCGGGCCCGGGCTGTGCCTCCCATGTGCTGGCATCTCAGCTGAATTGTATCCAAGAGCCTGAGGGCAGCCCAGGGCAGAAGACAACCCACTGCCTCATGCCTGGTGCCACTTCTTCGGCCCGGCCCCAGCACAGAATGCTTTCAAGAATCTATTGTGTACTCATAAAATGCACACCGCAACAATGCTGACCAGCCTAGCGGGCTTTATGCCGAGCCAAATAAGCCAGACCCAAGGACAAAAGCGTGCTCTCACTTATGAGTGGGATCCAAAATGTCGAACTCGCAGAAACACTGGAAAGGTGCTCATGGGGGACTAAGGGAGGAGCAGTGGGGCGATGGTCAGCCCTGCCCTGTGACAAGGACAGTTCTAGCTCAGGCACTTCCTCCGCAACCCTGTGGTGCCTGTGAGTGGAGGAGCTGCCCATGGCTTGGGCTTGCCTTGCTCAGCAGCAGGGGTCAGCATGGGAGTATGGTGGCCCTAGCCCTGCCAACAGGGTGTGAGAGAACGTCACCCAGAGGAAGCGCCCCAGAGACACCCAGGTCTCTGCGTCAGTTATTCTCACCACATTTCCATCTACTTGGAGGAAACTTTGCCTTCATGTTCTAAGTGGAGTGCCTTCCAAACCGGCCCACAGAGATGCTGCTGGGAGTAAGAATGACGCGGCCAGGCTCAGCCTGCGTCCTCTGCCGGGCAGCCCATCCTGACACGTGGTTCAGCCCCCGCTGTTGATGCAAATAGGAACCTGCAGGAGTGTGGAGGGCCCCAGTGCTTTGTCATCACATCCCCCAAGTCAGTTCCACCGCAGAGAAGACACACAGCAGCTCATTCCCAGAGCAGACGCCAATGTGGCACTCATGCACGGGCTCTGTCAGAGGTGGGTGCTGGCCATTTGGGCACCCATCATGGTGAAAGTGCCTCCTGGGTGCTGTCCTTTTGGATGTTTTGAAACTACCTTTATTAACACATCAGTCTTCCTAATGAGAAGGCTTGGCTGCCATGGCCACGTGGCAGGGAGGGCCTCTGGGGAAGGATCCCCCCACCACCCCTGCCTCTCCTGGCCTTTGTCAGTTTCTCTGCTGACAGCACTCTGGAAAGGACCGGGTCTGCTTGGCCCACGAGCAGGTGGTAGCCAGATGGTGGCTTTGGTGAGACAGCCTTTCCCTCCTGCAGCTTGGGCCTCAACACCCTCAGAACCCAGCCACCTCCCAGCTGGTCCCAGGCTCTGCCCTCCGTCTTGGCATCCAGATTTGGAGAGCAGTGCCAGCTCAAGGCAGGATGAGGCGGCTCAAAGCAGAGGCCGCTGTCTCTCTTCAGAGCCCTTGCACCCTCTTGGAGATGGCCTGAGCAAGTGGCTACATCTGACCTAAAGGACGCACTGGTCCTGCAACCCCATCTGCCCACAGCGTGCTTCCTGTGTGGCCTTTGCCGTGAGCACTGCGCACCTCTTCTCCAGGGACCTGGAGGTCCACTCCCCGGCGGTTCTGCAATCAGCTTCTCTGATCTTGGCCCTCTGATTTTCCCCAGAACTCCATCCACGAGGCCCTGCCCAATGTCCTTGCAGTTCTCCTGCCTCTCTGGCTCTTGGCCTTTCAACAGGCACTCTGGCTTGCCCCAGCCATCCACTCGCTTCCTTGCCTGCACCTGCAGGAGGCCAGCACAAAGCAGAGGACAGTGTGGAGTCCAGCCCCGGGGGCTCCACCTTCTGTCCTCACCTGGATTCACACTTCTCCCTCTCCTGCCTCCTGTTGCTGGGTCACAGCAACAACAGCAGCAGTTAGCAAGATTCTGAGATGCACAGTTCCATTCTTTAGTCATTGAACTCAAAATGAATTGAACCCACTCTTGGTGCACCAGCCAAGGTCAGCAGGGAGGCAGGTTTTCCAGGCGGCTGCAGGGCTGTGGATTTTTGCATGTTACTAGACACCTGGGATGGGGCCCACCCAGGAATGTTGGTGTCGTGTAAGGAAGATGTAAGGTTGGATTTCTAATGACAACTTGGCCTTGCTTCAGACATGGCTGAGCCTGTCACCATGGGCATGGCCGAGCCTGTCACCATGGGCATGGCCGAGCCTGTCACCATGGGCATGGCCAGCCTCTAAGCAGGGGACAGTCCTCCCGCTCAGGGTCTGGGTGGTAAATTAACTCTGAAAGGGGTCCACAGCCAGCTCACATTGTTTCCTTGATGAAGAACAGGCTGCATCTGCCGAAAGCCATCAGCATTATGTGCCTGTCATTTCTGAGCGAAAACCAAGTGATAGTAATGCACACCCAGGGACACACTGGCATGTGCCAGGGCTACAGCCTGAGCCCCTGTGCTGGCTGCACTGACCCCGGTGGGCTGGCTGCAGGCCCTGTTTGCTGCCGGGGGGTGGTGGGGAGCAAACGTCATGGTCTCTCCCACGTCATTTACTCTTAGCCCTGCATCCCCATGCCTCTGCGCATGCCACAAGAGGATCACTTTACTGGTGGTCACCAAGTGGAAGGCCCAGTTCTGAAGGGTGAGGCAGTAAAACTAGAATAGTCCCAATAGCCTGGGAGTCCCAATAGCCCTCCCAGAATGGCCCAACACAGAGCCTTCCAGAGGAGGTTGGCCTTGGGCTGCTCTGGCTAATTAAACATTTGAAGGTTCTGTATGAACTGACACACACTAAATGAATGTGTCGATTACTCTTTCAGAAACGTAAGGCTTCTTAATACTGCTTGTGCCTAAACCAGAAATTCCCCACTCAGATTCTTGCCCTTCCCTTTTTTCTCAGCTAAGTTTTTAGGAAAATACTTACAGGCACCAACAAGTATGATTGCCTTGAGGCTGTGTCTCCTGCTCTCCTGTGAGAATCAGGTGTTAAAACCTTAGAGGCCTATTAAAAAGCAAGTAGGTCCGGTTGCTTGCCCAGGAATGCCAGATTCCTGGGCTGTTTGTGTGAAAGCAGGTGGCGTTTTCCAGTTCTCATATTTGTGTGAGCCTTTTGCAGAAAGTCAAGTCACAGCATGCTCATTTGCCTTTGTTCCCCACAGCCGATCATCCCACAACTTGTGACTGGCATTCCGAGAAACACTTGTGATTGCGAGCAGCGCTTGTCTGTGGCCTTTGTGAGTCTGAGGCTGTTGGCAGCTGAGCTCCATGTGAGGAGGCTTATTAGGAAATGGCACCGCTCACTGCGTAGCCAGCCTTGGAGACAGACTCGCTGTGCTAATCACCTTGCAAACCAGAGCCGTCAGCGCTTTCCTTTGGAATTGATGGAAATGCTAACTAGGACCCCTTTCAGGGACGAGGTGGTTACGGTCCATCTCTGGACGATGGGACAAGTCTGTCTGAAAAGTGTTTTAATTTGCCTTTTCTTCTGTCCTCATTGCAGATGGCTCACACTGCTGAGATAACTCACGACATCATTGGCTTTCTTGACCAGACCTTGTACAGATGGGATTGTCTTGGTATTGAAAGCCCTAGATCAGGAAAACTGGCCCGAGAGCTCCTTAAAGAGCTACGAACTCAAGTCTAGCAAGGCACACAGGCTGTGTGGGTGCCCGGCGTGAGGGATCAGGCTCACTAAGGCCACAGGACAGGTGATGACCCCATGGCCATGCATTTGTGGAGTAAGTGTTCCCTGTGGGCTGTGAGAATGAGCCATACATATCTTGGGAAGATCTGCTAGTATCTGTTTTACAAAATGCAAAGCCAGGTCCCTCAGCCCAAACTCAGTCAGGCATGTTCACCAATGACTTGAGTGAGCCTTCAGCTCCCCTAATGCCTGCCTGGCCAGACCATCAGCCGGAGAACTACTGGAGCAAAGGCCTGGGTGGGAGAACAGGTTTCTAATTTTTACCCAAGTCAAGATGCATATCTATTATTTAAAGATTCGAAATCTTAGAACCAATAATTTGGTCATGAACCGTTAAATAATTTAGAGAGAACTTAGCTGTTTTCCATACATCATTTTTTAGGAATCAGGGATCTGATATAAAGCCACATGTAAAGTCTTGCTGTATGGAGAAATTCATCATCCAAGGGGAGCCAGGGTCCCTCAGGCTTCCCTTGTGTCTCCCTGGACCTGCCTGACAGGCCATGGGAGCGGACAGCACACCCAAGCCAGGGCCTCCTGCACACCCTTTCCACTTTCTATCTGCTACACGCTGACTGCTACCAAAGAGCTGCAGGGACATCAGAGGAGCCGGCTGGCGAAGGTTAGAGGATGTGTTCCAGAAACATTAGAAGACAGGATTAGTAGCAGTTAGTTATCGTGTTAAACCGAAATGGGAATTGGAAATCCCTGATAAAGAGTGGGCCTGGCTGGTGCGGGGCTCACACCTGTGATCCCAGCACTCTGGGAGGCCAAGGCAGGTAGATCGCTTGAGCAGAAAAGTTCCAGACTAGCCTGGCCAACATGGCGAAACCCCATCTCTACTAAAAATACAAAAATGAGCAGGGTGCAGTGGCACGCACCTGTTAACTCCAGCTACTTGGGAGGTTGAGGCACGAGGATTGCTTGAACCCAGGAGGCAGGAGTTGTAGTGAGCTGAGGTCTTGCCACTGCATCCCAGCCTGGGCAGCAAAACAAGACCCTGTCTTTTTTTAAAAAAAGGCATTGGTAGTCTAATCTCAAAGTTAATACTTATTTTATGTCAGTAGACGATGCTTTTTCCTTTCAGAGTCATTCTGGAATTGTATTGATTGTACATTCTTTTGTGTCTATTCTGTTTGTCAAGTGAGTCAAGACTTCCTTTTGTCCATTTTGATTTACATGCATTAGTAGTCTCTGAGTCTTGGCTCCATTTTGAGGAATGAGCAAAGTTTCACTGGATTAGAGGTTAACCTTTAGGGAAATTCCTTTTTTCGGTATGTGCCAATGCTAATAGAGCCACCTGAAGATCTGGAAAATTCCAGGAACTTTTGACCTGAGCCTTTCTTCTGAGAAATGCTGCAGTCAGAAAGGTGTGCTGGTGAAATATTCTGGTGGCAGTTGCCATCATGATCATTGCCTTCATATAACACGCTTTGTCAGAGGTGTGGGGGTTGAAAAAGGAGCTGCATGCTTCGCTGGAGTTGAGGGCCTCTCTCCTGTTCTGACTTTGAGCCAGAACTTGTGGCTGGGCCATGGATGCTGTGACTCCTCTGCGGACATGGTGGTAGCTAGGAACCCCTGGAGAGAGAGGCCACTGGGACCAGGCCTCCTGGTGTGGAGGGGATGCCTGGGACAGTCCTCTGCCCTGTCCTGTGGTCCTGTGTAGAGATTTGGCCTCTCCCTCACCCTCCTGCCAGACCTCTACCCATGCCTCTTCTGTCTTCTCCAACTGGCACTGGTGAAGGTAGGCGTCAGAAAGACTTCTTCCTAGTCTGGAAGCCGTCACCTTGTCCTGTCTATAGCATCTCCCAGTTCCTTCACAGCTGCCAAGTCCTCTTGTAGGCAGTGGAGGCAGCCTTGCTAGTGGTGCTTTCCAGGCAACCAGGGGCTCCTGGGTGGGAGGACTGTCCCTCAGGGGATGTGGCACTAAAGTGCCTGCTGGCTTCATGTGACCCTTTGCCCTTCCCTGGCCTGAGAGATGCTCAAAGGTGGAGAGCCAGGGGAGCCACCCTCTGCTGTTCCCTCCACATCTGGGACAGATGGCAGCCGAGGCTGTCCTCCTAAGCCTACCTCCTCCTCCTCCTTCAGTCTGGGAAGGGGGCTCTGCGTTTTCTGAAAGAAGTTCAGGGAAGCAGGCTCCAGAGGAAACGGGCCCTGGGCCGTGCTGGGCCTGAAGCCATGCACCCTGCTTTGGCTGGGGACTCTGTGCAGCTGAGATGGACCTCCCAGCCCCACACAGGTCCTCAGTCCTCTCTCCCGGGGCCTCCCCACAGCATGGCTCTGACTGGGAGCCGTGGTCTCAGGCAGCTGGGATCCTGGGGCCCTCAGCGGGCAGCCTCCCCTGGGTTTTCTGTCAGGGCCACCAAGAGGCACCACCCTAGGTCTTCCCCACAACGCCCGCCGGCCCTCCCGCTTGAGGGGCGCGGTATCCTGCAAGGCTCAGGCCTGGGGTCCTCTGTGCTGAACGGGCTTCCCAGGGAGCGGGGTGGCCATGTGGGGATGCTGCGTGTTGCAGCGGCGTTGGGGACAAGCCTGGGCGCAGCAACCCCATTAGCCAGGGCGAGCCGGGCAGGTGCGGTGTCTCGGTGTGGCGTGGCCCAGAGGGCGCTGACAGTGCTGGTGGGGACTGGGTGCAGGGGGAGCCACGGGGAGACTGGGATGCCAAGGCCTGGAGCCTCCCTGGAATTGAACTGGACTGAGGTCTTCAGAGATGCCACAGGGCCGGAATCTGGACCTTACCCTAGCAGTCTGTGAAGCCTGGGGGAGTTTTTCTAGACTCTCTCTGATAGTTTTTGATAAAGCATGCAGGTAAAATCACCACCCTCAGAAGGGGTGATCAGAGAGAGCCAAAAATACATAAGAGCCAGAGAGTGCCCCTCCAACCAGGCTGTTATTCACCTGGACTCCGGGTCATCTGTGGAATTTTTTAGCTCTTTAAAATCTATAATTTGCTATTTTTTCATTCTAAATAAAAATTCAATTTGCACCTAATGTATCCATTAAATATTATAATATGTCTCTGGGGAAAAAGCTCTCCCAATGCCCCCAAATAGTGGATGCCTCGGGACTCACAAAACCTAGATGTGCTCTGGAAAAGACCAAGATGGCTTAGCCTCTGGGCTTGGGAACCTTGATATCACATACCTAAAAACTAAGGGTCCTGTCACCAAGGAAGAAGGGAGGACTAGGGTAAAGGCATCCACGGCCTGCTAAAACCAGGCTACCTGCATTTAATGTTTGTTTTTCTCTAAGCCAGGCTTGACCATGAGCCTCGCTTGAATCGTTCTGTCCCTTCTCCCCTGATTCCTGAAGCCGGAAGGCCTTGTCCCACAAGCACGGCCCACCCACTCTTGCTCCATTGGTTCACAGGCTGCTGTCCCCTCCCCCTCCAGCCCCACAGGCCCCTCTGGGAGGCATGAGTGATGCCACCAAGGCGAGCAGTGCTGCGGCCACCCCAGGACCTCCACTCCAGCGGGCTTTCGGGTGCTCCCTGCACTTCTGGATGTGGGACACTGGGGCCCTCCCAGGGTCAGGAAGGCATCTGAGGGAGCCGACGGGAAGCGCTGAGATGCTCCTGAGGAGCCTCTTGCTGGAGCAGTTGTGGTTGGCAGGGTTTTGTGGTTCGTCCTTCACCCTGTCCTGTCCAGTGTCTAACTGGTAGGACAAGGTGCTGGGACAGAAATGGGAGTTAGTCCAGGGAATGGGAGGAAGCCCAGTTTTCTGTTGAAGTGGAGAGGTTACGAACAGGGCCTTGACAGGGAAGCTGGAGAAGATGGGACCTTGGTGAGCCTGGCAAAGTGAATCCACCTGAAACGCAGGAAAGTCAAAACCGAGCCTGGCCCTACACTGCCCAGGGCACGGTGGCTGCGCTGGAGGACCTGCACAGTGACAGCAAATGTGAGGAATGTTCTCATTCAATAAGGAATCCACAGTTGTTTTGCTTTCCAAGGAAGAGGAGAAACGGAGTTGCCTGTGCTTCTCATTTTTTTCTTCCTCTCATTCCAGCCCAGGACCACCTCCCCCAGCCCAGGGACCTGGTGCTGAAGTTCTTCCCTCTGTCAGACGCTGGGGAATCTGTAGTTTTTGTCCAAAAACCCTAAGTCATTAATCATCACTAAGCCATTTTACAACCTAAGAACGAAAATTAAGGTATAGTAAGTACACAATGTACTTTCAAGCCTCCTCCTAAAATCCAGTTCCATGATTCGCTTATACCATGGGTCCAAATCACCCGCTTATGTGCGAACTGGTAACAGCGAGCTCAGATCAAAAGCCTTCCCTCCCCATCCTCTCCTGGTGTCTTACTGCACTTGCTGTACTGGGCAGGGAATTTGTACATCCAGAACTTTTGGTTGCAAGCAACAGAAGCATGCACTGAATACTGAAAGTAAAGGGGAACTGATGAAAAAGGTATTGGGCCAACAAGGCCTGGTGTGAGCCAACCAGCAACAGTACCAGCCTTGTTTCAGATGCTCTGGCAAAGCCAGTTCTGACGCCCAGCTCTTCCAGACCTCACTCCTGGGAGAAAGGCCCTTTTGCCCACTCCTTTCAGCCCTCCTGCCTGGGTGCATTTGATGGGGGAGCCTGGGTCACAGGTCTGCACTTGGGCTGCTGGGGATGCCAGGAAAGCAAGCATCTGGCTTCTTCAGCTTCTGTACCGTTACTGGGTCCCTTGGATACCACCAAAGGTATCACCCAACTACAGGAAGGGGCCAGACACTGGCCAGATGGAGACAGTAAAAATGTCTGCAGTTCCATACAGCATCAATACTTTAGGTTGTGCCAGAGCATTTTAGAAGGCAGCGTCCCATGAGGCAGCCCAGCAGCCAATACCGGAACAGGCAGAGGCGGGCCTTCCCAGAAAGCCATTTTGTAGGCACCCAAATCTGGGTTTCTCAAATGCAGCACCATGAGCACCCTGGACCAGATGCCTCTCTGTTGTGGGGGTGTCCTGTGCACTGCAGGGTGGTTGGCTGCAGCTGCTAGATGCCAGTGCACCCCTCCCACCAGTGGTGACAGGACTTTTTCCAGACATTGCCCAGTCCCCCTTCCAGCTATGACTGCTGGGCCTTCCCTTCCGGAACGATATCCTGGACACAGACACTAATGGTTGTAGACAGAGAATTAACTTACAAGAAAACTAGGCAACCTGATGCCAACATTCATATGGACAGTAAACACGAACAGCCAGGCACTGTCGCTGTGAGCTTCTCATGAATGGAAACACGGGAGGAACTGAAAGGCCCCCATGGCTGCAGCCAGCGGCCTCCTCCCAGCTCACATGCTCCTCCTCTTCTCGTGATCCCCTCCTGGTGGCCTTTCCCGGACTCCATCCGGAGGCTGGACCCTGGCCTGCCTGCAGCTTCACATGGCATCTCTGGGCAGAGGGGCCGCACCTGCTCCTGGATCTCCAGCCCGGATAGCTCACTGCCTGTTGGCAATCTACATTAGCAGTGTGAGGACCCTCTAGACTTACCACATCCCAGGCGGGCCCACCAGCCCCACCTGCCTCCTGCACCCACCGGCTCCCTGCATTCCCAACAGCCACTCCATCCTGCCAGTGACTGAGGGCGAGCTCCGAGGTCACTCTTGACCCCTCCCTTTCTCCCACCACCACATCCAGCCCATCGGGGAGCCTGGAAGCTGGCCCTTTGTCACCCCTCACCACTCACTGCTTAGGTTTTAGACGTCATCTCCCACTTAATAAATGTGTCTGTGTACGGAATTTAGTATAAGATAAACACATTGCCATCAACAGGGAAAGGATGGCATCAGGAGGAAAAGTGTTAGAGAAAGCTCCCCAGCCCTCTGCCTTTCCCCAGCATCAGTACCTGGAGCATAGCTCGTTCTGGGATCTGTGTGTTCTGAGAAGCCTCTAGAAGCTCTGCTTGGGAGAGACAGGGAGGCTGCAGCCACTCTGGGGAGATGCTGTATTAGATAAATAAGGATTTAGCTTATGAAGTTGAAGCTCCCGTCCTCCTAAAATGCAGCAAGTGCTTTCTGACCTTTCATTTAGAGCTTCTTGCTCAGTGATTTTCATCCTGTCCTGTCTGGCCTCTCCCTCCCAGCGCACCCACCCCCGTCTGCAGGTTCAAAGCTCTGTGGGACACTGCTCGGGGCAGACTCCCCAGTCCTGCGGAGGGAGGAAGAGGAGTGCAGAGGATGCTGCTCTGT